ACCTCGGGTGGGCAGGGAAGGAGCCACAGCTCCGGGCTGTCGTGGGTGAGGGGGAGCCGAGGGCCGGGGGGTCGCGGTGGGGACGCCGGAGCCGGCTGGTGGCGGCTTCCCCGGGCTCCGCGGGGTTCACCGGGGAGGGCGGGGGTAGAGGAGAAATCGGCGCGTAAATCTCCAGATTACTACACAGATGCGATTCTATTACCGCCATTCTAAACGCTTTATTTTAAAATATTGCTAAGATTAAAAAAGTCTGGTCCTGTGCTTGGATGCAGGTACCTGGCCGTTGCAGGTGCTTACAGGTGTCAGGAGCTGGCTCCAAATCACATTTCCACTAGGTACTGGCATGGGGCTTTTATCTGGTAATTTCTGCCATTTACTATTCTGCCAACTGTCATAATATTCATAATATCTGGAAAAACTGATTGCTTAGTATAAACTTTCATCCTAGGAAAGGGTGTTTTGCACCTTCACCCCTTTTCTCTAAGCTATCTTTTTGTACTGATTTCTGCTTCTTTATATGGTGTGTAGTTGCTTAATGCAAGTAAAACTTATCCACAGTCACTTGAATGGCACTGTAGAACTGTGTGATGTAAAAGCATATAACCACGCAAATATTTACAAATCAAAAAGAAATGGGGGTTGGCGGGGAAAAAAACAACTGATTTCCTATGTTTTCTTTGCAGGAAATTGCTGTATAGAAAGCTGCCTCAGCTTTTTGATAAGCAGACATGGTGAGAACAAAACCACTTTTTATATATTTTCATTCTTTCTGAAATGGTCACCTCATGGAAAGTGAATAGCTGCTCTGCATCTCAAAGGATTACACATATTACTCTGATGCTGTGAAGAATTTGTAATGAAAAGTTTAGGTTTTCATTTCAGACTTATAAGAATATATTGTGAAAAGGAAAACAGGTCCATTTACATCAGTCTAAAATATGATTAAACTTTTACTTCAAAGATCCTAAAATTTAATCCTACTTTGGTATATATTTGATAATCTAGTTTGGTTTCTTTTACCACAGAAGCATTATTTGAGTTGCAAGCCCTGCTTTGGTGTATGTAAACTTATATACTTGCAGACTTTTAAAAGTTTAGCAAATCAGGAAATAGAGATAAGAGTGTACATATCTTAAACTGTACATACACCTTTTATAGCACCTTCATGGACACTGTGGCAGCTGTCTCCTCTCCTTTACCTGTATCCTTTTGGAGTAGTATGCCAGTATCAACATGATGCTGATTTTGGTTATTTTGACTTGCACTTATCCCCAGTGTAATTGTGTTAGCATAGTTTAGCACTTCTCATGGGAGCACTATGATATATTTGGCCTACAAAGATATATGTGCTTATGTGACTGGGTAACTGCAGTTTTAAATTTTATAAAGCTAATTTGTAAATTCTTAAGAAAAGTATGTTATTTTGTACATTTGCTTGTTTGTGAAGGTAGATTATATACGCTGCCATTTCAAACTAGCTTTATCACCCAGAAGGCTGCAGGCAAGTAACACACATCAGTTGCTCCTCTGGTTAAAAACGAGTGAGGTATGTGCACCACGCTCTCACCCAGATAGATATAACCTTGGTTCTTCACCTTTACAATTGCAAATGAATAATGTATTTCTGCAGTGTAACACCACAAAACAGCTTCTGCATTACCATGGCAAACTTGATTTGTCCTGAACCTGAACGAAACTGAGAGCTTTCTGGTGATTTTACTGGAAATGTGGAAGGTTTGTGACAGTAGCCTTGCTTATGGCCAAATATTGAAACAGTGGTTATATGCAGTGGGAACTTGCTTATGTTCTTTGTGGGACTGAGAAATAAAACTGAGTCTGTTAGTAGTTCATTGCTGATTTAATTATTTTCTGCTTTTTGCTCAGGCTGTCACGCTGCATACTGATGTAGGAGATATTAAAATTGAACTATTCTGTGAGCGTACTCCAAAGACTTGTGAAGTAAGTCAAATAACAGGAGCAGGATTGCCTAGTGTTGAAACAAAGCAGTAGAAACAGTGAAGATTGTAGAGGGGGTAGAGTGGCTTTTGCAATTCATCTTTTCACATAATGGAATACTAACATTTTAAGCTGGTACAGTGTCTGTTCCACTCATGGAACTTGTGCACTGTGTCATGCTCCCTAGAGTTTTGATGGCTGTTTCTCACTTGGTAAGGGTTAGCTAAGGAACTCTTCCCTCCAAGTTCCAGCATCTTCCAAAGTGTCCTCTGCCCCCAAGGGGAAATGTGGCACATAGCATGGGATTCCCAAATTTCCATGGGTTTGCTCACACTCTCACAGGCTTGATTTTAGTTTAAAAGAGCGAGACTCTCCGTTTGTCAGAGGCCCCAGGTTCTCCTTTCTGCAATAAACTGAAATTGAATTAATTTATTTTTTAATGAAAAAGCTGAGGCATAAAGTTATTGATTACAGAATTACACGTACAAAATAAAAATGTTGAATGGCAGTGATACTTTAGAGCATATCTCAGGCTTTTTGTTTGTTCCTCAAGTCAGACAACCTTACACTGTAACCTTTAAAATGGTTTGTACGTATGACAGTGTCAAAGGAGTTTATTAACTATGATTTGTTTGTAACTGTTCTGTGGCAATGCTCTGTGGAATTCACATGGTCACAATGCAAAGCAGGGGTGAAAGCATTGGTCTTGCCGATTCTGTCATTTTAGTAAGACAATACTATTTTTTCAGTTGTTTGTTAATATGGTTTGTTTGATTTCCATAGAATTTCCTGGCTCTTTGTGCTAGTAACTACTACAATGGATGCGTATTTCACCGAAATATAAAGGGCTTCATGGTTCAGACAGGGGATCCATTAGGTAAATTCTTCTGTCTGGGTCTCTCTATAGAAAAATGTACATAAAAATAAAACGTCAAGATATAAAATTCTAAGTATTAATATTAAACCCAAAATGTAAATAAATAAAAATAAAATATAAGAATTATTGCCTTGGTGATGGAGGTTTTAATGCTGAGATTAGTTCTCTTTGGTGGTCTTACAGAAGTGCAGTCATTACCCTGGTTTTAAATAATGATGCATTCTACAAACTTGAGTTTTTCCAGCTGTTTCTACTAAATAGGATGGATCTATTGACTTACCAGCTGTTGAATAGGGAGCAGTTGCTACTGTGCTTTATCTGGTTTCTGCTTGAAAGGCTACACCGCCTATAAAGCATTTGGGGAAAATGTCCCAGACAGTGTTAGCTGCTGGGGAGAAAATCTGGTTCAACTCTACGCCTGTCTGTACTCACACTGAATTTAATTTGAGGATATGTCAGTGGATAGGTGTTCTTTATATAATGTTAAATCTCTGTGCAGTGTCAAGAAACAAGAACTTGATCCCTGCCTCAAACTAATTACAGCCTATCTAGGGTCTTTGTATTAAAATGTCATAACAGAACATAATTTCTGGATTTTTCAGTCTGAAAATCTGGTAATCTCTACTGTGGTGCTTCTTTGTCAGGCACTGGGAAAGGAGGTAACAGCATCTGGGGCAAGAAGTTTGAAGATGAATTCAGTGAATACCTAAAGGTATTTCTGTGCTCTCAATATGCAGTTACGTTTTCATATGAATTTTCTTTACAAGTTGGAGAACAATCAGCATTGTGTTGTACTGTATGAAACACCTCTTTTGTAATTGTAAAACAAATAAAGGATGGAAAGCTTAGTATTATTAAAATAGGAACAGGCATTTCTGTTCTTGGCAAGTTAGGTTTGAGGGTTTTCATCACTGAAAACAAAATTACAAAGAATTTGTAACAGTGTTTTCATGCACTAAAGGGAAAGTAATTTTTCATTCTAAGAGCAGTTTTAAAGAGCTAATTATGAATTGGGATAGAATATATTAGCAACCAAGATTTGTTCTTAATAATGGTATTGAGGCAGAGTTCTAGGTCACAGAGCACTTTGTAGAGGTTAGTCCTGCTCTCAGAGATGTGTATTCACGTTGAGGTTTCTCCCCTTGTTCAGCACAGTGTCCGTGGGGTAGTTTCAATGGCAAACAATGGGCCGAACACCAATGGATCGCAGTTCTTCATCACTTACGGCAAACAGCCGCACCTGGACATGAAGTACACTGTGTTTGGAAAGTAAGGATCCAACTGCTCACCTCTTTATCAGTGTGTGGGAAGGATCTGAGTATTTCAGGGCACATGCAGTGCAAATTCAGAAGCTTCTGGTTATAGGGATGTGTGTATGTAAATGTATGCTCTTGCACTGTCACCGGAATTAGTTGCTCCAAAATGCTGTTACCTTTTTCTTAGTATTAGGGAATTCAGTGGAAATAGGCATATTAAAAATTACCTCAAGAATGTAGATTTTCTTTCTTTCTTTCCCTCCCCCACTAGTTATTCCAGCTTGGCTTTTCATCCTTTCCCAAATGGATGCAGCCTGATTTTAAGCCAACTCCAGAACATCTGGATATACAGTTGTAGGGTTTACTGAGAACCAAGAATCTGATTTGGGACTGGATCTGGGTATGAGTGTGGTACTGACTTGGTCATGCTTCTGTTTAGGTGGGACTTCTTGTTGGTCAGATAAAACTCATGGAACTTACAGTTAATAAAATCAACTGAGGTTGTTGCATCATTATTTTAAAATATACTTATGTTAATAAACATTACTGATAAATTATCATATTCTAAGCAAATATCTAAAATGTTTGAGTCTTTCAGATTGGCTTTTTCTATTTCAGAATCATGGTAATGTCTTTTGTTTATTGTTAAAGTTTCTAGCATACAAGTGAATCTGCTGAGAAAATGCAACCTTATTAAGTGCAGTTAAATATTCAAAAGAAACTGTGGAATGTGAAAATACTTATTTTCTACCATTTGTATTGTTTGTAGGCATCTAACTATAGGTGCTCCTTTCATTTCTGAGTTTGTTTAGAAGTGTGATTGACAGTAGGGGTTTTTAGATGTTTTTTTTAGAAAAAAAGTAGAGACTGTACTACTGCCTCAGCTGCAGAACCATCAGCATATACAGTCAGTCCCTGCAGGCCCACAATCCACTGCAACGTGAATTCGAAGAGCTCATGAAAGTGACTGAGTGGAACAGCACAATGTGTTTTCTTCTAAGTCTGTTTCTGGGGAATAAACTGCCAAGATTTACCAGAACTAGTTGCTTAAACAAAAAACGTATGAGGTTTTGGCAGAAAAATCTCTCTTGCCGGTTCTTCAGCCTGAGCAGGAAATCCATGCCATTAGATTTACAACAGTTGTTAATGATTCTGTCCAATCTTGTCTTTGAGTCAGAAGGTTGGTAATTATAATCTCAGATTTGAATATTGATTTTCCAGATGTAAGATTTCAATAATTCTGACTGAAGTTTGCTAGGGCCAGTGTCTTGCTGCTACCTAAGCCTGTACTGTGTTGGTCAGTCCTGCCTGTCAGGAAGTGGTATAAAGGTTGATATAAAATATGATACTGTCAGGTCAGCAGGAATTATTAGTACTTTTTTTCAGAATCTATCAGGTATGCTTCATATTTCCTTTCAAAGTACATTATTTGCCACATACAATGTTTTGGCTGTCTTGTATCATTTGCTTGCAAAGTCCTTGCCCTATGATACTTAACTGTAAAGTGTTTTGAGATATCTCAATTGTGAAATTTAAATTATTATTAGGAGGAGATTTCTAGCACTTCTGTTTTTCTTGCAGAGTTATTGATGGCTTGGAGACCCTGGATGAGCTGGAGAAGCTGCCTGTTAATGAGAAAACCTACCGACCTCTTAATGATGTTCGTATTAAAGATATTACAATCCATGCCAACCCTTTTGCTCTGTAGCCACAGAGGCCTCAACACATTCTTTAGAGACTGGTCAGACCAACTCCCAGATCATGGGGTTTAAGGAACCATTAAAAAGGGTTACTTGAGCTGGATCAAGTAAGTTTGCTCACTGAATGCATAATTTTCAGGAGCTGTGACATTGTTTTGGAGTTGTCACAGAGAAATCTTGTGCTGCAGAAGCAGGGTTTTCCAGAGTATCACCCAGGATTTTGATTTTTAAACGTTGCTTTTTATACTTGTAAAATAATAAAAAAAAAACTTTTAAAGTATTTTTGCAAATCTTTGAGTTTTGCCTTATCTTTCTTAGTGATTCTATATTAAAACAATGTTTTTTGCTATAATTTCATGCTACCAGTTTTCTGAAACTTTCCCACATAAATTCTCACCTTCATTACTCAGTTTTCTCAAAAGAGTAAAGTAAGATATGCAATTTTCTAGGTGAGAGCAGTGTCATAAATCGATGAAGCCTTTCTCTCCCAGAGGATTAAAGAACATACTTAGAGGAGTGCTTGCTCTTATACTGCTGTGTTGAAATGGCAACCTCTTCAACCTCCCAAAAAGGTAGATGGAAGACAATTTCTTCTGCTTCTGGCACAGTGCTATAGGTATGAAAGGTATTTCTGTTAATATGTATGAAAGAGCAAGTATTTTCTTTACATAGCCATTAATTGAAACAAGGCAAGATGGATTTAGTGTAACTGGTTTTCATCACTTTTTGTAGTGCACAAGCAGTCAGGGTGTGGTGGGTTGACTGTGGCTGGATGCCAGGTGCCCACCCAGCCGCTCTGTCACTCCCCTTCCCAGCTGGACAGAGCAGAGAGTAAAATGGAAAACAACTCATGGGTTGGGATAAGGCAGTTTATTAAGGCAAAAGCAAAGCAGAAGCCTGCGTGCACAAAAGTGAAGCAAAAAATAACAAGGTTTATTCTCTACTTCTCATGAGCAGCGATGTCCAGCTGCTTCCAAGAAGCAGGGCAGGCAGCCACTGGAGACAATTAATACCCCCCCTCCCTTTTCCCTCCCAGGAAAAGGAAACAAACCCACTACATCCTTGCCTTAGCTTTTATATCTGAACTGATGTCATATGGTATGGAATATCCCTTTGGTCAGTATGGGTCAGCTGGCCTACTTATGTTCTCTCCCAGAATCTTGCCCTCAACTGGTGAAGGAATGTTACAGTGCTGATACTGTGCTCACCAGTAGCCAAAACACCAGGGGTGTGTTATCAACACCCTTCTAGCTCCTAATGCAAAGCACAGCATTGCTGCTTTGGGGAAATGAACTCCAGCTCAGGCAGACCCAATACAAGGGGGTAAACAACAAAGAGCAGTGAAAAGGCTGTGGTCAGATGAGGTTGAACAAGGAAGAGAGAGCTGTTGTTTGATCTTAGCTGAGAGCAATTGTTATTGGACTCAGATAAGAAAATCTACAAGAAGGTACGGACATTTCTAAATATTGACTGGTCAAGAGGAAAACTATAGTACATGCATGTGTATGAGTGTGTATTTATGTATATTGCTGATCCTATGCTCAAAACAAAATAACTTAAGCAGGAAAAGAGCAATTTGTACACATCAAAAAAGAGTTCTCCACCTTGGGCATACTGGGAAAAGCAAAATGTTCTGCTCTTCTTTGCTGTAGTTATAAAATTAAATTTTAGCATCAGTTTAATTTCATAAAGCTGGAAAAAATCAGCTTTGCACAGAGGTGCACTTTAAGATTCTGTAGAGGTGAGAGGGTTTATTTCTAGTTCTAACTGTGCATAAGAGACCTGGATAGGAAAGAGTACTTGCAGTTCCTGCATCCTACTCCTACCGTTTTGGACTTCTTGCCCCAGTTCTCTTTAGGCTCAGTTAACATCCCTTAGCAAAGCTCAATCTCATATATATGCTTTGTAATCCTTGAGAGGCCCAGGCCAGCTCACTTGCAGTCTGCTTCAGACCATTATTTCTCATTTTGAGACTTTGCCTCTTAAAATAACGAGGAAAACTTACTTGCAAGAGAAAGGCAAAGGTGCAGGTTACTGAGGCGTTAATGAGCAGAGTTAATCAGTGCCCTCTCTCTGGAACAAAGTTTCTGTATTCTTTATGGAGTGTTGCTTAAGCTCCCAGCTCTTGCTGCAGAGTGTATATACTGTATATATATATATATATGTATATGTACTGTGTATATACTGTAATACTTCAGTCAGTCAGGTAAAGGATTTAATTTTAGCTCCATGCTCTATCTCTTCCTATAACCGGTGGCAATAGCAAGTAGACAGAACCATGCAAGTCCATGTTTGACTGACACTTACTGCCGTGCAGAAGGAAGGACATGTTGAGAAATTTCCTACATTGCAAAGGAACCAATAATTTAAAATGCTGCCATCTAGCACCAAACTGGAAAAAAAATTTTTTTAGAGTTTTTAGATTTTATTTTTTTTAATCTAATGCTGTGTATTGAAAGAAGAGTGATCCTTTTGGGACAGAATTACATCAGAACTTTTCAGAATTGTATTATGTCTGTTTTCCTATTTGTGGCTCTGAACCTCTCCCAGGTTTCCCTGAGAACTTGGAATTCAACATGAAAAATAAGGGTGGGGTTGGTCTCAGCCACCTGTTGAAGAAAAGGCAAGACAGAGTAGGAAATAGCCCGGTGGTGGCAGTGTGTGGTTCTGTGGGTTGCTGGGTACAGCGTACGTGCAGTTCAGTTCTTGCACACAGTCCACTGATGTGTCCCCAGCTGTTCGACTTTTGTGACAGGTATAATCCTTTAGATAGCAGAAATGTTGCAGACAGTACTATTCTTACTGTAGGCTACTTGTGCTTTATAAACTCTGTTTGCTTCCTTCAGTCTGGTCCTTTATCACAAACACTACAAGCACAAGATGAGTTCTGCTGAAATGTCTACTCATTTAAAGAAAATATAACTGTGATGGAGGGTCTCATGTATATTCTAGATTATCTCTGACCTTTGGTGCCATTAGAAAAGCAATAGGTAAAGTTGGTGTTAGTAGTAGGTCATGCTGGGAGCAGGACTCAGTCTAAGTTGGAGAGCAGTGAACAAGAAGAAAATAATGGAGCATTATTTTCGAACAGTGACAAATTTACATGTGTAATGTATGTATTTTAAGTTGATCACAGGGGCAGTTGGAGAAGTAAATGAACCTCCTTGCTCTTTGTATTTTTTTTTTTTAATTTACCGGATGTGGAAGTATTTCAGAAGGTTTAGTCCTTCTCAGAATAAAAAAAAATAAATAAATTGGGTTTTAGGGAAGTGATGTGTATAGGCTGTTGTAGTGTTTCAGGACTGTTTTATCTGTAGGTGCTCTGTTTCCCCATAAATTAGATTACACTTGAGCTTATGGGTTTTTCAACGCCAAATTTCAGGCGCAGTGCTTGGTTCGCTCCGCTGAGGTGCCCGATCGATGGCTGAGGGGCTGAGAGCGCTGGGACTGCGCTGCCCTGTGTGCAGTGACAGCAGCAGGGGAAGCCAGGGCTAGTCTGATGTTCCCCTCCAGACTGGAAAACACGATTCAGAGCCAGTATGATACCACATGGCATAAGAAGGAAAAAAAAAAAAAAAGGAGGATTCAACTCTTCGGGTAAGTTTTTTCTTATGCCAGTGACTTGCAAAGACATCTTTGTTAGTCATATGTGATCCGTTAAAACCCTGCTGATTTAAAGCTGACTGGGTACATGCATATGCTTTGACAACCACTGACAATGTGTAAAAAAAGTTAAGAGACGATTAACAGCTTTATCACCACGGGTGAAAAATGACCATTTCGCAACTCCGAGTCTCCCCCTCACGCGCCGGCCGCCATGTTCTCTCTGCGCTTTCTCTGGGCGGGGAGAAAATGGCCTCGGCCGCTCTGGCGGGGGAGGCTGAGCCCTTCCCCGTGCCCGGCTCGGCCCGAGCACGAGAGCCCCTGGAGCGGGGGTTGGGGTCGACCCGCGCAGTCCTCTGGCGGCAGCGGGGCGGAGCGGCCCCGCTTCGCCTCCAGCCCTGCGGCGCCGCGGCGGAGCCCGGCGGGGGCGGCCTGAGGCGCGGCCTGAGGCGTGGCCTGGGCGCGGGAATCAGTTGACTCTTGGAAAGGGAAATAAAAGACGGATATCGAATGAGTTCGCTTTTCCTCCGGGAGCTAAGTAGCTGGGAGATAACCGGGGGTTTATTGTCATTCTGACTTAGCATCAGGAGTTCTTCGAGAATCTATAGAAGCAGTTCCTATAAGTCTTCAAAAACCCAGCGGGCAGTAACTGTGTGCCCGTATTAAGTCCACAGAAGCCTTTCTTTCTCTTAGGGTGTGCAGCATTGGGAGCCTGAGCAGCTTTGCAGAAATCTTGAGTGTCTGAGCCACGATGCGTCTTTTAAAAAGTCTTTTTTTAAGGAGTAGGTTACTGGTTTATGTTCCCATCTCAGAAACAGTTAATTTGAAAAAGCTCTTGAATAAAAAAATAATGTAGAGGGAAGAGCAGAGGAAAAAAACACGGAAATTGGGGATTGAGGAAAAATGCAATCTTCATTGTACTGTAAATTTGATGATCAATGGCATTGAAAGTGGATCGTTTGTCTATGGGATGTAATTCAAAGAGTAAAATATCTTTGTTACAGCTGGGGGATTGCAGGCGAACTAATTGGCCTGACCAGGATAAAAGAAAAAGCCCACTTTGGAGAAGCTGCTATAATGCTGAGAAGGAAAAGGCCCACCGTTCAGAAGTGGACAGGAGAAAAAGTGCTGCAAACTTGATCTTTCTGAAACTCTGGACAGGTAAATAACTTTTGAACTTTTGATATTGGCAGACGTGTTTCAAGATTTTATTATTCTCATCAGGTGATCTGATAATGGATTAATTTCTGAGTTGGAGGTATTTCAGCTTAAAACAAAAAGCTGTCTTCATAGGGGCACTGGAATGATTTTAATTACGTTTACTGGATCATTTTTTTTGTAGTAGTAATTCAGAAACCAAATCTGTAAATGAGAGAGGCTGTCATCTAAAATGCAATTTTGAAGGATGCAGTCACGAGTTCAAGCAAGGATGTGATGCTGGACATCAGAGTAGCCAGAGATCTGGTCTTAATGTGACAGTTGGTAGCAAAAGGAAACACAAGACGTTATATTAGTTGTCATCCTCATCCTCCGCAGGTGATATGACCAATTTTAATTTAGCTTGTTGTTTTTTTGGGTTTTTTTGGGTTTTTTTACTTTTAAGAAGATAGGTTCTCATCTGGGCAGTAGTAATTGAGTGTGGGAGGTTGGAAAATTCTGTTGGTAATAGTTTATTCCTTTAGATCATATTAGTAGCTTATTCTTTTTTGCCAGGATTGTATTTCCTTCAGTGAAAATGTATAGTTTGTACATATGCTTGTGATATCACTGAACGTGGTCTTGCTATTTGTTCACTGACTATATTTGAGCAGATTAATGAAGAATAACCATCAATTGGAGTACTTGAAATACAGGCATCACTTTCGTGACTTCAAATCTTTTATTATGACAAGCATTTATTTAAGCCCTACTTGAAAATCCAAGGACAAGTTTCTAAACTTGATTTTGACTAAGTATCACTGAAATAGAGAGGTTGTAATGTCAGATTTACTTTTCTGAGTATCAGTGAGAAATGTGTAGAATTGGATATGAATGGTGTCCATCCACTAGGAGAGTGGTTTTTCTGATCTTTGTTTTATATTTAACTGTTAAAGCTGAAGATTGGAATTATAAGTTAAGATCTTCAGCCAAGACAGCACAAAGTAAATGTATATGGTATTTATGATTAAAAAAAATAACTTCTTGCAAATACTCGTACAAGTGATTTAATCTTGATTGCTTAAGATGGGTATTTTAATTTGGCCACAAGGCTATTTTATATACATATATATATGTTTGTGTAAAAGATAATTATTAAATCTGTTTGGTTTAAGAAAAAAATAGGGGCCCTGAAATAATGAAGTAAAATTCAGTGAACCAGTCTTTTAAAACAACTGTAATTTTTTGTTACCTTGCTACTCTGAGTTTCATCTGAAAATCTGTTCCTTGCCATGTTTTTCTCCTGTAACATTAACTATGTGCCCTGTGAATTTCTGGGGACTGAATTTGAAATTGTTCCTGTCATCTGTTTGTGGCCTGGTGTGTATCTGAATGCCTGAGTATTTCCCTGCTGAATGAATTGTGTATTCCAACCTGAATTCACTCGGGTGGGCTGCATGGTTGTGGTGCCCTTTGGAAAGATCCAGGAGTGCAGAACGTAATGCAGAGTCACCCGATCTGTCAGAGAGGAGCCTACTAAGTGCAAGTAGTGGTGGGTTGACCCTGTCTGGGTGCAGGTGGCCACCAAAGCCTTTCCATCAGTCCCCTCTGCAACCAGACTGGGGAGAGAAAATGTAACAAAAGGTTCTTGAATTGAGGGAGGACAGGGAGAGATCCCTCACCAGTTACCATCACTGGTGAAACAGACTCGACTTTGGGTTATCAACTGAATTTATTACCAGTCAAAATCAGAGCATGATAATGAGAAGTAAAATCTTAACAGCAACTTTCCCCCACCCCTTCCTCCTCCCTGGGCTCTGCCTCCTGCCAGGACCCTGCTCCAGCACAGGCTTCCCATGGAATCACAGCCTGATTTCAGGCATCTGTCCACTCTGGTGTGCATCTCCTCCATGGGCTGCAGGTGGAATCTCTGCACCCTTGTGGTCCTTCATGGGCTGCAGGGGCACAGATGCCTCCCCACGGGCTCCGTCAGACATGGGGGAAGCTTCTGGCAGCTTCTCACAGAATCCACCCCTGTAGTCCCCCCAGCTACTAAAACCTGGCCACAGAAACCCAATGCAAAAAATTCTTTTAGCATAAGATGTGAGGAGCTTTGGAAGTCTTTTCTTTCCGTCCTTTTTTTTTGTTTAGGGGTGGGGATTGTTACTCTTTTTCTGTAAAACTTGAGTACATTACTTATTTTTTCCTTTTTGCCCCTTAAATATGCTTTGATGACAGTTGTCCAATAACAGCAACAATAACAATTGTAAACTGGGTAATTACAATTTAAAGAAGCACAGTCTAGAACAGCTTCAGTGGTAGTACTTAAATCTGGTTTTGTTTGATTCGTTTTTTTAATAGCTGAATAACTTCACAGGTTATGACTGAGAGTTCTTTCCTTTATAGATGAGATTGTTGCTGTTTTGGGTGAAGGTACTTCTGGAGTAGTGGAATGCATCAATCACAAAGCGTAAGTCTTTCATTAAATACATGTAATTTTTCTTATCGATGCTGTCACAGTGGGGTTCATAAAGTGCTTGCTGATTGCATCAGGTTTTATCTTTACATCTTTGTAGGCTGTTAAGTGTTTCTTTATGGTTGCCACAGTTCCCGAACACTAATTATGTTACTACAACCTGCTGAAAGCAGCACTTAGACAGGAGAGTTGTGCAGGACTGGTGGCTGAGGCCTGTTAAGAGGATGAGGGCTGATGGAGGTAGGTGACCAGGACACTGTGGGGTGAAGCTGCAGTCCCCCACACTGGGCAATCCTGGGCCCTGGACCACCCCAGGCCTGTGTAATGAGGAAGCTGGCTGGCACCATGTAGCTAACTTAAAGCTTAGCCTGTGGTGATGCAATGCTGGTTGGGTTCTGTCAGTGAGTGTTGCGAATCAGGAATGTATTTTGTGTTTTATGGCAGTTTTACTATGTGCAAGGTAGTAGGCAACAAGATTGTCTTTCTAGCCACTGTAGAAGGCACTTGAAACCTCAGTTAACATTTTTACTACTTAAAGACTGAAGAAGGCTGGTCATTTTTGACTGACAGTTGTGTAAGGCTGTGAGATGTGGAAGTTCCTCTAGTATTAGCCCAGCGTACATCAATACAGTGGGGAAGTAGGTGGGACTTCTAACCTCTAAGAACAATACTGATATATATGGGATCAAGTATGTTTTCAGAATTTAAATATGAAATTTTAGTTGTATTTATGCATAGATGAACTTTGGTTATATTGTCAGCATGTAGTAAAAAAACCTCAACCTTTTCTGGTAAGGTTGCCATTGTTATAAACAATGTATATCTGAATATTCTTAGTCACTGTTATAATCACTGTTATAATCACTGTCCCTTCAGAAGAGGCAAACATGTATCTGTGAAAAGTCAAAAAGATGGTAGCTGCTCCGATGCAGCTTAGGAAGTCCTAGTACTGGAATATTTACAGGGGCTGGGTCCCAGCAGTACACTATGATTATACAAAGCCACCTTTTACTTTGTTTCAGCTTTGCGATTTCTGTGACCTCACTTTCTGTAACATGGGAAATACTTCTCAGTGCTAATACAACTGTTGCAAATCATGTGTTGTTCCTGCCTTTGTAGTCACTGTGCCCAGATGTTGGAATGGTTTGAGCACCACGGACACCATATGCATTGTTTCTGAGCTCGTGGGACTCAGCACCTTTGACTTGCATTGAAGAGAATGCTCTCTGCCTTTTAAGCTGGATCACATTAGACAGATGGCATATCAGACCTGCAGATCTGTGAACTGTAAGGATGCTTCCTTTTTGCTTTATTTGTTATATGAATAAAAATGTCTCTTGATTTCCTTTCAGAGGTGAGAGGTGTGGAAAAAAAACCCCTGGCAATGATGAAGCAAATGCTGCAGCCGTTGCTGTATCACATGATGAAAGAAAAGCTGGATTGCTACAGTTTAAATATTTTCAGATTAGGTTTAAGAGCAAACTTTTTAAAAAAAAGTTTAATAATGATGGAGTCATCCTTTTGCTGTATTTAACAAGCTGGCCACTCTTGTGGAATATTCCCAGATCAATTCCCAGGTTATGAGCAAACAACTGGTAAACTTCTACTGAAGGGACAACACAGAATTCTGAATAACAGACTATGTTCTGTTTGTCTAGGGAAACACAGGTGTTTCTGTGCTGGCCAGCTGGCTTGGGATGAACAGAGTCCTGCAGGCATATATATATATCAACACTACTTATTACTTGGTTATTTTGTAAATACTTTATGTTATAAATGCTTTACTTAGTAGTATGACTTTTGGATACTTAAGTTCAATCCAGCTGTGACATCGAACTTATTTAGTATATTGATGAACCTGGTTATGTTTTCTCATTAAATCGAACTTGTGGAACACTGGCACTTTTAACATATGGAAAAGAGCACCCTAACACAAGGAAGTATTATTTTAATTATGTTTTATTCAATGGTCCTTGAAATAGCAGAAGACCTGCTTTTTACCCTTTAGTGTCGCTGTTGCTTTCTTTTTGGATAAGGAGCAGAGATATCCCTTGACATTAAGTGTAAGGATGGCCTTTATTTGCTTTAAAAAAAAAGTTACAAAGTAAGGAAGATCACTGTAGTATTGAACAGATTGCATTGTGATGACCAATTTTTTCATTATTTTATTAGGTGTACTCTGGTTACCAGTATTTCAGTTAATGCTCACTTAGCTTACAACAGTATAGACTTCACTCTTTGACCCAAGCTTTCTGAATTGAACTGTCCTGAGAATTTCCATTAGGAAGTAAAGTTTCAGGGAGCAGATAAGCAGTTTGATTTAGCATGTCAACTGCCAGCATAAAAGAATCTTTAAACTTCGAGGGGTGGAGTTTTGGCTGTCTTAGCTTCCAGCAGCCATGCATTTACACAGCAGCACAAAGAAGCTGCCCCCCCCCCCCCAGCCAGCAGCATAGCCCAGCTCGAGAAAGCTGTATATGGGACAGCACTGCTTGTACTTCCATGAGGGAAGGGGAAAGGCGCCCCCAGAACTGATGCTCAGCTGCAGGGGTGCCTGACAGCCCCTCAGGAACACAGGCCCCCAGCTGTGACAGCCAGCAGGCTCAGAGGTGCCACTCTTCATGTCCTACAAAGTTAGCAGTCACTGCCACCACAACAGCTTCTCTCCAATAGCTTGCAGGAGTGGGGCACCCACCTCACCCTGCAGTTGGAATAGAGGATTGCTTTATGCTGGAAGTCTAGTAAAGGGATGACAAAGTACTTGGGGACATGGACAGCCACTGATGAAAGGGGCTATTTGGAGTAAGTGTTACAGACTGCAGTGCCACACAAGCCATGGTTGATTCACTTGGAGACTTTTTACAGTTTAATCTGCAAGCAGAACTGCCCTGTCTCATTCACCATATCACATCTACTCCAATACAGATAGAAATTCCAAGGGGTAAGGTGGATTTCACTGTGGAAGGCTTTAAATGACAGTATTACAGTAGAAAATACAGGAGGTAGAAGGTAACTGAAAGGACAGATGCAGGTTAGAGTCAAATCTATAACAGCTCCAGTAAGCTACTTGAACATGGTTTTAAAAACTAAATCCAGTATTTCAATAACTATAGAAAACAGTTAAAATAAATTGCCATGAGAGCCCTTATATCATGCTTGATACAGGGAGGTAGGATGTAAGAATCAGAAGGACACATGAGACATGACACTTATCTACAGCTCCTGTTTGCTTTACTGAGGACAGAGTTTCTCAGGTCAGTCACCTTCTTCAGCTTCAGACTCCGACTCTGCAACAGAGACACCTTGTCAGCAGCCTGCCCACAGGTCAGCCCCAGCCCCGAGCTCGCTGCTGCCCTGCATCCTGCAGAAAAGCTGCTGTTGGATCCACATGGATTTCACAGGCAAGCTTTTCTAGCCAGTACGAGGGTAGGGGACACTCTTGTCTTAGAGAGGCAATTTAACATCCCCACCCTTGGCCACACAGTGTTATTGCACCAGGGTTCCCAAAATGAACAAGCTCCACTTGTGAGCTAAGCTGCTGCTCACCTTCTTCAGCATTCTTGAGCCATTCAACAAACTTTTTCATCTGCTCCAGAAAAACACTCTTTCCTTTAGCAAGATGTGCATCTTTGTACCACTTCAAGATGGGTTCTTCACTCAGAACTTCAGCTGTAAGATGTGCAAGAGCAGTGAGAACCCCCGACTGGCAGCCTTTGCTTCCCTCCCTAGAAGCATCACATGCTCCTTCTGTGGGTACAGCTGGACAGACCTGCTCTAGGAGAGGCTCCTCTTTTAAAATTCTTAGAGTTGTGCATTTTGGATTGGCTGCTGGGATTTTCCTGAGTACTGCATCTAGGAGCTGCACTTTTGCTCCCACTAACAGTCTGAGGTATTTCAGAGTTATTTGAGATGGCACACACTCTAAGGATTTCAGTTAAAAGCTAAGAACAGATACAAATTCTTTAAAGTCAAAAGCACACCACAGGAAGTGTTTAGCTGTTTTTAAAATGGTACGATATAATCTTCAGTTTAAAAAGTCTCCACAGCTGCACAGCATGTTTTTTAGTAACACCTTTTATCAGACATTAAAAAGAGAGCCTACAACACCCCAGAACATGGTGGTGGTCTCCATCTATGGCTGTTCACAATCAATCTTCCCTAAAGGACTTACTAGGACTGAAGCATTCTGCTTCAGAAGTTCCAAAACACCCAATCAACCAAAACAACCCCTCAAAACCCCCCCAAAACCCCAAAACTACAACCCCGCAGAAGTTACCTTTATAGAAGAGCACCACTATTTTCTGGAAGGCCTTCATGAAGTGAATGTTGTCATAACAATACTCCTGAATCTTCAACAGAAGAGTCAGCTCTGACTGACCTTGGGTGGTGAAGGCAGCAAGTAGAGGGCTGTATTGCTGTAACAAGAACAACAAATTGGCACACGCAGAACACTCCACGTGTACCGCCTGACTAGGCTGGTTTCACAGTCTCCATCAGCCACTGCTTATGAAATTTGCAACCACTGCCCCACCCCAGAGTGCTCCTGCAGCAGCCATGCTGGCTCTGCCCCAGGAACCTGGCCTGTAATACTCTGCAATACAAGAGAAAGAATTCCCCATCTAATGCTGTCTCTGCATTAGCAGGGTTGTTACAAGGCTTTAACACTTGAAAGGGAGCTCGAGACAGAAGGAAGCACAAGCCCTACCCAAGGGGTGCAGAAGTCCATAGTGAAGTTACAATACCTTCAAATGCTTAATGGCTTGCTCTGCTACCAGCTCCTCCTTTTTGTTCCATTCCACCGTGCTCATTACGCTTGACCAGATTATGGCTACCACAGTCTGTTCTGAGATGTTGTTTTTCTTCATCTCCTCCTTCACATACAAGATGATCTGCCAGTTAAGTAAGAGTCAGCACAAAGACCACATATGGCACTAAGCTAAATTAAAACTTCTGTTCTGAAGGTAACCCAGGTTTCAGAACCACACACAACCTCCTTCATCATACAGCAGAATTCAGGACATTAAAGAAAGGGTACAAAGCTAATGCCAAAATCCCCTGGTCCTAATTTTAATTCCTGGCGAGAGCTAAGTTCAGTATGAGAGACAGACACACACACAGAAAGCACCTCCACCTCATCTCCAGACAAATACTTACATCCTTGAAGGGATCTCCCCGCGACATCTGCTCCTGCAGTTCTTTCTGCAGCTCCTTCCGAGCTCCTATGGATTGCTGGTTCCGAACATACTCAGAAAGTTCTTTTAGTCCTGCTTCAGTGAAGTACTTAGAGAAGTGTTCAACACTTTGTTTGTTGGCTGGGAAGAGTTCCTGAAAACAAAGTTTACGACTTTTTTGTGAAAGAAATGTGTGTTGAGTACCTTGCTGGCAAATTCTATTTTACTAAACTGGCTTAAGCAGTAGGAGAGTAATTTCAGTGGTACTCACCATCAGTCTATTATCCATGTTTACTTTGCGAAGACTGACAGCCACTGCATTAATATCTTTCTCATTTATCCATGATTTGAACAGCTTGACTGCAAAAGCTGCAGAAACACCTGTGCAATAAGAATAGTACTGTTTTTAGTGACAGTACTAAAAACAAAAAACAAAGGGAATCATAAGGCCCGAGTTCAGGGCACCTAGTCTGTCAGACCCCTGCTCAGAGCAGCAGCAGCTGTGCTCCCAACAACCCTAGCACTGTCTGCAGAACCCCTCCCTGCCTGAGGATACTGCAGCCTCCAGCACACTGGACTTCTCTTACCATTCAGGGACAGGAAGTCTTCCTGTACTAAACTTGACTCTCCTTGTTACAATTTAGGAAGAAACCTAAAGATATGACACACCTTTTGCATGCTGAAAGGTCCCTCTCCAAAATACAATACTGCTTCGCTGGGTAACACTAGTGATGGCAGCCCCCAGTGTCATGCAGGCAAGTCCTACACACAAGCTTTCTGAAAAAACTCATTTTCTGAAGTCTTAGCAAGACCTTCCAGGTTGTGGGGCAGCACATTTACCTTTGCTAATCCTGTAGTTAATCTATCACCAGATGAAGCTAGAGAGCTGCAAGGAGTATTGCCTTTGTAATACCCACCTACTTGTCATGGTTCTGTCCCCCACCATCTTCCCCTGAAGGAGGAGTTGGGCAACACTTACCTTCTTTAACCAAGTTCTCATTGTAAAGACTGTTGAGAATCGATGCATTCAGTGTCCCATTGGCCAGCAGAATACCCGTCAGCATGGCCAGTTTGTTCCGCTCAGATTCTGAGAACCCTTTCAGGAACAGCAGCAACTGCAAGAGAAAGTAAGAAGAAGAGTTGCCCTAAAACTATCATCTCTCACTAAACTTTGGACACTCTGTGTTAAACATTTTTGTTTCAGTCAAACTGTTCAATTAGCAGAAGCACTGGCAGTCTTCTCCACTAGTGACAGCAGTTTGCTGTTCTTTTATTAGAAACTTAGAAGTGTTGTATTTTAATAATCCACTTTATGCTGTAACTCTTCTACAGTGATTAACTAGCAAAATTTGAAGGTTTATTTGTCTGCTGATAAACACTGTGATGGTTTCACTCTAGGCCTTCTTGGAGACATGGAGTCCAATTCCCTTGGACTAGGGAATTGGATTTTAGGGCTCTCAAACCATGACAAACACCCACTCCGTACCTTTTTGACTTCATCCTCAAAGCCTTTCTCCAGGTACTTGTAACGCCTGATGAGCTTGTTAAAAACCTAAAAAGACAGATCATATTATTTTTTGCTCTAAACTATCATTCAATTACAATTTTAAAAAAACAAGTTCAGTAAAGTGGGTCTGAACTCTACAGAAAACTTTTAGAACACTGCTACTCTTACCACTTCTAGTATGCTTCTTAAAGCCACATATTATTCTTACCCAAACCTTCAACTACCCAAACACTTCATTTTTGACCACTAAACAGTTTTAAGTTAAATTGTACTCATTTCAGAACTAACCTGAGCAAATGCTTGCATGGTTTCTAGGTCTTCCTGTGCTGCAAATACACAGACGTTTGTGCGTGTCATGTCGTCTGCCAAGGTACCACCTGGGGCTGGAGGAGGATTTCAGCATTAGTAGTGTTACTGCCCAGGGAGAGTACTGAGTAGTCTCCACAGTAAGAACTCCAATTCCCAAAACATGCAACACATTGTCCTTTTGTGATGCTGAATGACCTGGCCACTGAAGATATCCCTACATTTCCATCTGTTCCACTGCTGCAGTGGAACTTTAAAATCAGTACCTCAGATCTGAATATTTAAATATTCTGGACCCCTACTGCTAAGTGGATTGGCAAAACATCTTGTTTACACGTGACTAAGTTAACATGGCCATGTGTCTCTTCTCTTAAAGGGAACCACTGAAACTGCTTAATCATAGCAAGTGTCTCTAGTGTCTGCAGCAATAGTGCTTTGTAAGTGCCTTTTACATGACACAGTAAGTCACAACAGGAGATTGAAACATGTAGAGATGCATGTTCAAAATTCAGTGCCCCAGAGATGAGTTTGAAACTTGGGGTTTTTTTAGGCTGCTTCACTAATGAAAGTGCATTCAGGTCACCAGCTTCACTGCCAGAACACCTCATCATGGATTTCTATGCCATCTTACATACAATGGAGATCCTTATGTTATTAGCCAGATACATGGCTTTAAAAACAGAGATGAGTATTAACAGTAATATTAAAAGGTGGTCAGGCAACAGGATGTCAGTTTTTATTCTGGCCTCATCTGACTGAAGATCAAAGTCAGTCTACTTAGCTATGTGTTACAGAGAGGGACTTGAGTAAAGGACCCCATATTACCAGTAACGCAGCAATGCCTTCTTCCCTTCCCTCTCAGCCTTATTCCTAGAAGAAACACTTCCTCACACAATATGTACTGGTTAAGACTCTTAAATGTAAACCCACATATCATAACAATTACAACCTGTTAGGTGAGCAGCTGTTCCTCTTTGCTCTTTACACACGTGTGCATGAGTTTATAAGACTTTTCATCATCACATTTCACTTCCTCAGTTCCCTGTATTTTCTGCTGACTCAACCACCCTCTCATTTCTCACTCCCTGATGTCTGCTAGAGCTCATAACCCACTGTCAACAACAAATTATTTGTAATAGCATTTCTAAGAGCACTTCAGATTCTTCTGTAAACAAGTTTCCTTTCCAAAATAAGAGGGCAGGATGCACAAAGCACAGGATAATGTCAGAATCATTCAGGGCAACTCCACTGGTCTTGTGACCACAGAGCACACACCTGAAACAAGCATTCATCCACCTCACACCATCAGAAATGACCTACACCTGGTAAAAAAAACCCAAAAAACAAACCAACAAAAAACAACCAAACACACAATCAACCAACAAAAAATGCCAAACAATCCAATATCTTTTTTTAAGCCAAATTTGTACAATCTACACTTTGAAGAACGCAAACAGACTCAAGTAAAACTGCAGGAAGGTATACAGAGCATTTCTACAGTAATTGCTTAGTCACCAAGACGGTCATATAGTTTACCACAGATAACTTAAACCCTGTTCCACACACTGAATGGGCTCTTTAGCAGAGTTTTTACACTGAAAGAAAATTGAGCTTTTGCAGAGTCACGTGAATAAAGCTGACAGCAGCCAAATCAAAAGGACTTACCCAGCATTCCACCAGCCACCAGGATGTCAAAAAGTGTTTCTGCATAGCGGCGATAGTCAAGTTTTGCACCAGAAGCATCAAGAAACTTTGCTACTGCCTCCAAGTCAGTGCCAGTTTCACTTAAACCTTGAATAATACAGTCCTGGAACTGAGTAGGGTCAAACCTCTCTTTTTCATCTGTAAAGAGAAAGTGTTGAAATAAAATTTCTGTACACTGTTTTTTGGTTTTTGTTATTTCAGTCTTATTAAAAAAAACAAACAAACTAAACCAAATTTGCACTGACAAACTAGACAGCTGTATTAAGTAGCACAAATAGTGACTTAATAGCATAGCCTGAAATGAATTTCAGTGGCCAATACAGCAGTGAGGAGTCTTGCTGCTTTCACTCCCCTGTTCAGTCAAGGCTGGGAGAGAGGGTACCAAAAGCTAGAACATTGCTTAGTTACTTCTAATTGAATTCTTACCATATTTTCAGAACAGTTGTTCACAATGATCATTACTTGACTCTAATAAAGCTTACCTGACTTCTCAGTTTGATTCTTATACCCCCATTGACATGTTAGATCACTCTTTCCTCCAAAACAGGTGAGTTAGCTCATGCTGGAAGGCAATTCTTAATACATGCCCCTATGGTTTTGTACATTTGACTCCATTACTATGTTTCATTTCAGCTCTTTGGGCCTCTCACTGTTTTGGAAGAAATACTCTGACTGACAAGCTGAAGTTAGAGTCATTTGACAGTGTTCACTTTTCAGCTATGAAGACCATCCCCTCCTTTTAATATGGAATTAAATAAGTCTGAAGTAATTGCTGTTTCTCAAGTGCCTGGGGGAAATGTAGACATATGAGCTAACTTAATGGGCTATAACTGCATATCTATTTAGCATCCTTTGTTGTTGTTAAAGCAGAACACCTACTTCTTCATATCTGAGATACATCCACTGATCATTGCCTTGTTTTCACTACAGGTAGGGCGTAGTCAAAATGCAACAAATCCATCCATGTAACTAACAGAAAACCTTAAACAGAAGTAGTCTTTAATTTTGCTCATCTCTATTTGTCCTTAGATTATGCAAACCATGCGATGAGAAGCTTCCAAAGATACAGAACTCAGCTGTATATCTTATTTTGAGTGCTGTCTACAACGGCTTAGCCACTTCTGGTGGGTTAGCAACCTAGCTGGCATACTGGTGTCCTGGTGTCCATGTAAGTACCCACACACTGGTAACAGCTGGGTGGAAGTCTGGAAATACTGGATCAGTTATCTTCCAGGACAAATCCACAAAGCCCATTGTTCCAGCAGCTGCTTGAAAACAAACTGTGGTTAAATGTTTAAAAAGAGACTAAAAGCCAGGCCACTAGCATTTCCTCTGCTGGACAGACTAGATTGAACTCTCTCACTCAAGAATTTCTCAAGGGGCTTTGACATTAAAACAGGTTCTGTAAATCAAAGCATACTTCTATACGTGCAGAATCCTTAAAGCTGCCTGTCTGAGCTGGAACACTGCTAGTAAAACAGTATTGAACAGGAACTCTAAGAGCTGCACCCACTTCCTCTATGGGTTTAAAAAAACCCCCACCAAAATACTAAGTTATTCATCGCACCTCTTCAGTCATTAACTCTTCATATGGAAGTAACTGTGCTCCTACAGAGACAGGCATTTGCACATCCCACACCTTGGGCTTTTTTTGGATGTTCGCTGGGGAGTGGGTCTGTTTGTGTGATTTTGTCGTGGGTTTTTTCTGTCAGTTTTTTTAAATTAGGTATTCTTATAACATTAAGGGGACAATGTAACTTTTATCCAGTGGCTAGGACTGAAATCCTTATTATGTTAGATGCTCCTTCGATGCATGTATCAACCTGCAAAAGCCTGTGCTGGAGCTCCCCTGTAATTCCGGGTTATCAGATACTTCTGCTTTCAGGCTAAACACACTTCACACGGTTCCAGAATGACCGTCTCCTAAGCCAAGCTTATCACAGTAAATTCGGCGACAACTCTTACTGCCAAATATGTTTGATTAGTGCAGAGAACGCTGCAGCACCCAGAGTCGGCCTCCAGACTCTGCATTTGGCATGCTCTCACTTAAGGGAGTTTTGAGACGAGCATAAAGGCACTGGTTTGTTTGCGGACACAAACTGATGTTTTACCGACCGCACGGCGCCGGCAGCCGGTCCTGGCAGCGGGCACGGGGCAAGAACTCACCTCTCTTTCTGGTTTTAAAACGCTGGCCCGATAGTGTCGGCTTCTGCGGCTTTTGATTATTCATAAAAGACACCCTGCAAGGAAACAGAGACACCCCTCAGGGCACTGGCGAAGGGGCCGTGCCGCTCCTGGCCGCCGGCCCCGCGCGCGCTGGGCGGTGCGGGGCGCGCCGGCTCCCGGCACGCACCGGGCTCCGGGCGGGGGCGGCGCGGGGCGGAGCCGGGCCCGCCGCGGGGCCTCTGCCCCCCGCCCCCGCCGCACGGAGCCCGCCGGGAGGGTCCTGTCGCCGGCCGCGCTCCCCGGTGCCCGTGCGGGGGCGGACGGAGAGGGACCGATCCCCCCCGCCTCCACCCGAGCGCAGCGCAGCGCGGCCCTCCCGGCCCGGGCTGCCCCAGCCGGCCCCGCCGGCCGCCCCCCGCCCGCGGCCGTGTGCTCACCGACTTTAAGGCAGAGAGAAAACGCCCGAGCGGCCCGGAGCGCAGACGGGCGAGAGCGGCGGCGAGGAGCGGCGGCAGCGGAGAGAGAGCTGTGCGAACGGAACCGACGCCAGAGGAAGAGGGAAGGGCCGCGCTCCGCCCCGCCCCGCCGGAGAGCATGGAGGGAAAAAGGGCGGGGATCGGTCCCGGCTCCCGCCCTGCCCTGGCCGTCCTCCGGCCGCAAGGGGGGACCCGCGGGGCTTGCGGGTCCGAGCCTGGTCCGGAGGGAGCGCCTCCTAGGAGAGTGTGGGCACACAAGGAGCGCCAGGGGAACACCGAGTCCTGCGGGGCACTGGGCATTAATGCCGGGTCTGCTGTGCTATTTTATCCTGGATTTGCTGTTACAGTTTTAATAATCGCCTCGTTCCTCCCATCCTGATGATAACATCGTCATATGAACACTTGACATATAGTAGTCTGTGCAGACAGGATTACCGGTTAAAAGCTGCTCACATCTGACACACAACAAAGTCCTTGAGTTCCAGAAGCACAGGCCTTCTCTACTGCCGTTAACACAGGGTCTTCCACTAGCAATCATGATAACAGGTCTCATTCTACCTTCAGGCTGTGGGGCAGTCTGTGTCCATTAGCAAACAGCATAAACAAACCCAGTGTGTTAGTAAAGGGCCTGTAAGTACTTTCTAAAAAACATGCTGCCAAACTTGCCGACCAACTGGAGACAAAACCAGCATACTGTCCGTGCTGGTGTAGGACAGGAGATGCAACTCAGTTCTTTGCTCCCCAAAAGGCCAAACCACTAAACTAACGTAGACATCACAAGCTTCCTTCTAGACCTCACACAGCAGCAAATCTCCACCAGAAGTAAAGGATAATATTCCTGTGACTAAAGCTCTTGCAATGACCAGTTACCAGGAGTGGAAAGTGGGGTCATTCTTATTGTCAGTAGGAGCCAGATTTCACCTCATACCGTTTTTGTTACTACTGCTTTCTTGAAACGGTATTGGTTATAGATCCCAGTGTCATGAAATAGCAGGACAGCCTTACAAGTTTGCTTTTATTCAAGAAACATTTTTACAGGTTCCAGTTAACAGCCCGATGAAATCCCCAAAATACTACATTCAAAAATACCCTAAGGGAGTTTCAGAGGAAGGATTTTCACCTTAATATTTGCAAATATTTGTCCATTCATTTTAAACCCAAGACCCTGATTACTTTGGTACTCATTCTAAACTGAGAGGATTTGTCTGAATCACAATTAAGTAAAAAGCAAAGAAGATAAATCAGAAATTATTAAAATTGCATTTTACGGAAAGGAACAAAAAGACATAATAGTTCCTTGCTGTCAGCTTCCCGAAGTCTTTGATATTACAGAACTGCAAAGTCTATTACCAGTTGAGCTTTTCCCATTAGCTGTAGTTTCTCACCATTTACCAAGAGAAATGATCAGGAAAACTTCACCCACATAAGCTAGAAATTTCCTTATTACTTGCAATATTAATTTACATGTAAAGGAATAAAATCTTGTTGTATCTCTACAGATTTAAATTAAACATGACTTATTTGAGGGTGTGTGCAGGTTGCACTCTCTTCTATACTGGGTTAATTTAAGCCTCACCCTTAAAATAAATGAAAATAGTCTAAATTTCTGTCTATTTAATGAGGATCTGAACTAATGAAATACCCGTTAAGCATCTCCAGAGTTATTTCTTATGCTAGTGTTTTGGGTACACAATGACGTTGTTAAATGTGTTCTTACTGTAAATTTTATTGCTTTGAACTATTAAATATCAAAGTCGAATATTGAGAAGAGGAACAAGTGATGACGAGGCAGTGAGTGAATAGCAGTGATTATATTCCAGCTCTAGGAGAGGTCAAAGTTGATAGTGGTTCAAAGAGATCTGGTGGTAAGGAGCAGGCTTGAGGTAGGCTGCCAGGAAGCAAAGAAGCTTTACTGGTGTATTACTGTGGTTACTGTAGTGGTAATAATATATCAGTGTCTAGAAATATTTGGTAGTATGTACTTTCAGAATATCTCTTTTACTGAAATATTGATACATTGCCCATCACTAATTTGTACATTGTCTAATTCTGATCTTTGGGATTTTCATATGTTAGAAAAACAGAAAAAATAGATAACAACAGCTGTGACTCTCAAACTGGATGTAGAAGTGACAAAATGGTACTATTTGTGATCTGCTCTTCACTGCAGATATTTTCAGTCTCATGCAAATGCTTTGAAGTTCTTGAGTTAACTCCCCAACTACTCCAGTGTAGCATGAAACACATTAATGAGAGGTCTTTTACTTAGAGACTTACAATAGAACTGGTGCTTATATCTTGTTCTGCAAAGATGGTGTGATATATATATGTATGCATGTGTGCATGTAAGTGTTACAGTTCTTTCTTACATGAATGCTTTTGATCAGTAAGTGGCTGAAGGAATCACCGGGTTGGTTGATTCTTAGGAAAGCAGTACTAAGCTATATCGATGGCCCATGGCTTATAGGTTCCAGGTTTGTCTTTTGGAATCTGAAATAAAATATAAAGAAAACAACATCATTTTGCTAAGGGGAAAAAAGAACTTACTGTAATTCACAAATGCACGTTCCTTATCAGCCATGTAAATGTCATTGCATGCACAAAACTCCATTTTCCCGTGTTATAAAAGGTTGTGAAATCAACCAACTTACTTCTAGTTAACAGTGGCATTCTGGTAATTGAACAGGTAATTAAGCTCATATTTCCATAGCAGAGGTGAGCTCACAGCCTGAAAGGCTCAGATTAGAGGAACTGACATACGAGGTTCCATTATGGTTTAATGATACTGCTTGAATCATGGAGGCCATGATGTTTGCAAAGAAATCCTACATTTCTGAGGGCATTCCTGGAGACAGAACATCACCTCTTGATGACTGGATAACAACTTCACCATTATTTAAATTCTGAGTTTTTCCCAAGTGTTTGCACAGCACTTAGCCCACAAAGGTTCTTAATCCTGGTTATAACTTCTATGAATAGGAGAAGTTCTATCACTGTGAAACACTTTGCTGGATATCCTGCACAGGAGGAAGCAGAAGTGGATGGATGTGGAATTCACAGCCCCAGCCTCCAGGGAGGTTGAGGTCAGGGAGTCTCTAGCTGGCTGCCACTGGAAGAGTGGGGCCTGCAGGTCTGCCTGACCCAAACTGTGTCTCTCTTCATAGAGAAATTTTCAGTCTAGGGTACAATAGAGTTGTTCAAATTCGGCTACGTGAGGCTTTTTAAGTTTAAAGCTTTAATTAATGGACCTTGTCACAGTTTGATCGGATGTTTCCTATTTTCCAGGCTCCTGAAGCGTTTGTTTAGTTTGCTTTCTGACTGGATATGCACTGAAGGGAAAATGACTGGTAAACCCGTGCTGTTTATCTATTTCGTAATTGCTCCTGTGCTTTACTACTTTGATTTTTTATTCCCCTTTTTGATTTTTCTCTTCAACTTATAAATAAACAGAAATTTGGGTAAGTGACAATGTATTAAGCAATTTCAGATATCTGCTTTTACAGTGCCAAAAGGATGAGTGCATTGGAAAACCTGTGAAGTGGCTAAAGCTTTCATCAGAAAACAATGTCATATTTCTCATCTTGCCCACCTTTCTGAAGAAACTCTTGTGTGATCACTGTTGGCTAGGGCAGATATGGGGAGGGAAGTTGGCTCCTGCCTCAGAGTCCTACAAAAATAAGTACTGTCCAGCAGTCTACTGCTCTGTCCTACTGCCAACCCCTTGTGAGGGAAGTGCAAGATATAGGAAGATCAGATTGAGACATTACTGTGGAAAGAAAGACACAGAGAACTGCAAGGGTGAGGGTGCATTTTCTTGCCATCCTCATTTTGAAGAAAGCAGAGGCAAAGCACACGGGTGGCTATAAAAATAACTTCAGTGACTGTGGGGGAAATTTCAATAAAAGGGCATAGTGCACCAGTTGTGCATTACCTGTTCCATCTGTGAGAGGGAAGATCTTAGAAGACAATAGAATGTCAAAAACAGCCAGAGCTGGTACTGTATCGCACTTCAAGAGTGGGGAACTGTACCATTCTCAAACCTACACATTATACCTACAAAGTAATTACAGTGTCTGAGATAGGCAGAAAAGAGACATGTTGCATGTTTGTCAAAAAAAAGAAGGTTGGGGTATCTAAAATCCATTGTCCTTCTTAGCCTGATCATTTCAGTGGCTGCTGAGTATCTCTCTTCATTCTAGAAAACAAAGACGATATAGCACGGCCTGAAGGTCTATGTGGAGGGCTGTCATGAAGCCAGCCTTGGACATGGGTTGTATTATGGGAAGGATCATTGCTGGCCTCTGCTTTTTTTATAAAAATCAAGGGTGTGTTCACTCAAGCAGTTCTAGGAATACTTCTCATATCACGACACAGAAAATGAGCTTATATGAAGTAACGGGGACCCAGATAGTTTAGCCCATTACAGTGAATATCTTAAATTTGCACCCCTAGATTCTGTGGATGCCTCTGTCAGTGGTGATGCTCACATGTAAACATAAATAAAAAATGTTTTATTTGGGAGTGCTCCTGTTTACCCAGCCTGTGTTTTCACTCCATGTTGTGACAAGACTTGGATGCACATCAGCCCATATTTCCATCTACCTTGTTTTCCAGGAAGAAAAAAAGGAAACTGGGTTACATGGTTCAAAGTGGAATCAGTCTAGACCAGGAGCAAAGGGCAAGTGATGGAGCATGTCTAGCACTCTGTGTTTAGACATAGTCATAGTTTCTAATGCAAATAAAGTGACGCTAAGACAAAGTCAAACTATAATCTGAAAAGGACTTTCAAGGCTTTTAGTTTAAAGGAGATAAATAAATTGAAACATTACCACTGAGGAAACAGTACAGGTTCCTCCAGTTCTGGACTGTCAGTTCATGTTACTCTGTCAACATGGCTGAACAAGGTGCCACTGATAAAATAAAGTGCAAAGCTCTGCTAAATGTTGAAGAAAAGAGATATGGCTCACTGATTCATCTAGGTGCACAGCCCATTCAGGTGAAGGAGAATTAAGGAGTTGGCCAGCTCAGGAAAGGAATGAAAATAACCTTACCATCTCAGTAAAGACATCACCACAGGCCATGCGAATCCGCTCAACAGTCAGGGGGCTGTTCAGTGTGAAGTCCAGGGACAGTCCTCTTTCTTTCCGTGTAGCAGCCACTGCATCTCGTATTGAAAAGAACACGGAGCTGCCCAAGAATAATCCAGCCTCGCCCATGCCCTGGTAGAGGAGAGAGGCAGTTGGAGAGACTGGCTTTAGAAACTGCCAGCAGAGAGTTAAATCAGCACATTTCTGCTGTATTTATCTGAAATATACTGAATCACAGCAGATCAGTATTTGATCATGTCCAGCATATTTGGATTCAACAATTTTCCTTGGATCTCTGAGAACTTTTAAATCAGAAAACCATCAAGGATCAGAATTTGGCTGGTGGAGATAATTTTAAAATTCACAATAAAGCTACAGTATCAAAAAAACTTCCTGCTGGGACTTCAGTGCTGATGTTAAAAAGCTATGAAATAACTCATGACTTCTCACAAAGACTAGCTTTTCTATGTCCAAGTGGAATTAATTCTTCATGATGAAACAGAGGAAGAAAGACTGCTCCCCCCCACTGTCCTCTTAGCCCCTCTTGCATGGATAAAGTTCGTGCTGTCTAATTTTGACAAGAATTATGCCCTTAGTCTCTGTCTGTTTTCTTCATGGGGAAGAGTTTTTTTACTCATTTATGCCATGTAAGGCCATAAGAATATGAAGCAGACTTACTTCTGGAAATTTCAGTTCCTTGGTGTACTGGTTTTGGCTGGGGTAGAGTTAACTTTCCTCACAGTAGCCAGTATGAGGCTGTGTTTTGGATTTGTGCTGAAAACAGTGCTGATAACACAGGGATGTTTAGTTACTGCTGAGCAGGGCTTACACTGAGTCAAGGTCTTTGCTGCCTCTTACCCCACCCCACAGGCAAGGATGCTAAGGGGCACAAGAAACTGGGAGGGGACACAGCCAGGACAGCTGTCTCAAACTGACCAGAGTCATGGAATATGGTATGGAATATACCATATGGCCTCATGTTCAGCGTACATGAGGGAAGAAGAAGGGGGGGAGACATTCAAAGTTCTAGTGTTTGTCTTCCCAAGTCACCATTACAGGTGATGAAGCCCAGCTTTCCTGGCGATTAATGTCTTCCTGCTGATGGAAACAGTGAATGAATTCCATTCCTTATCTCACTTTGCTTGTGTGTGCAGCTTTTGCTTTATCTTTTAAACTATCTTTATCTCAAGCCGTGAGTTTTCTCACTTTTACCCTTCTGATTCTCTCCCCCATCCCATGGGGGGCAAGTGAGTGAACAGCTCTGTGGGGCTTAGCTCCCTGCTGGGGTTAAATCATGGCACTTTCTTATACCTGCTCTAGATTCATGGCTGGACTTATGGGCATTCCTATCTTTTAGTATCCCGAGGTCTACACCTACCTTTAGTTCTCCTTTTATTCTGAGGTGCCTTTTTTTTTGCTTTTATTTTGAGTCTATGAACAGTGCTCAGTCCTAGTACTGTGTGCCTCCTGAGAGGTTGAGGTACCCTTAGGACAGAAAGAATGGTGCTCTGCCATGGCTGATAGAAAAACTGGGCTCTGTTCCCATACCTATCACAGGTTTCCTGTGAGATTCTAGAAAGTTACTTAATCTCTTATCACTTCTCTGCCTTTAAAAATTATAACAATATTTCCTTTTTTCCGTCCGTACTCCTCTTTAGGCAATTAAAGCTCTTCAAGATGGACTTTTTCACTTTTGATTTATAGCACAACAGTTTTGTGTTCTTTTACATAAAAGTTTAAATTTTGATTAGGGTTTCTAAGTGCTACTGTAATACTAATAAATCATAGGAAGAAAATTAGTCCAAAAATTGAGAACACTAGTGTTTACCATTTAAGTCCAATTTGCTCCATAGCTGAAACTGCCCCCCCCCCCCCCCAAAAAAATAAATGCAAAGCATACCATACACTACAGTCATGGTTTTGCAGCAGAATCTCCTGCTGTGCTTGCAAACAGTAAGTTTGGCATGTTTACCTTGGAAGAATAGATGGCAATTGAGTTGCGTGAATTGGGCAGTAAATAGACACGGAACTGCTCAGGAACGTCACAGACAGCAGGGATCTTATATGTATCTGGGCCAAGAGTGAGCTGCTCTCCTTTTGGAGAAAAGTAGATTTCTTCTAATGTATAAAGACCAACCCCCTGAATAAAGGCCCCTTCAATCTGAAGAAAGAAAAAAAGGTAAACTTTTACATTTCATTCAATTATTTTAAAAGATAAAAACAGATATACAATCAGACTTAATTAGTAAGATTACACATGAACTGGCTTTCTTTCTATTAGTCAACAAAGACCCAAACAGGACAAGGCTGTCCTCATCTGACTTTGACAAATATTTTCATTGGCTCAAGTTCTATTCTTCCTTATTCCTGGCTAATCTCACTGTAACTAGTACAGTTGCCTTTGATTTGCTTTTGCAAAATTGCCAAATAGAATTGAGTCAAATCCACAGCAACCGCAGTGAGGAGATATTTGTCTAGGGACTATGACATATATAGTCTGCTCAATCTAATATTTGCTTTAAAAGATTTGCAGATAGCCAATAAAATTTCTTTGAGATAAGTATATCAGACATAAACAGGTGATAGTTTGGATATGAAGAGAAAATAACAGACCAACATCATGTAGGAAGGAATAACTGCTGAGTAGACACTTGGACTGTGTCAGTAGTTGATGTAAACACTGGTGCAAGATGAGCATAGAATAAAAATGCTAAAAAAGAACTTAATATGACAGATTTGGCAGGCCATGAATGTGCAAAATGAACACAAGATTTTAGGTGAAGGGCAAATATATGAGGATGAGTGTGGAATAGGATAAATAGCAGGATAAGAAAGGCTTTAAATGTAGGTCACATTTTTAGGAGCATTTCCTCTGACTCTGCAAAGAAACAACAAATATTGTTTACAGTCTGAGTTCACCACTACTTTCTCATTTACAAACTACTAGTGAGTGACACCACTTTTGTCACTATTCAGTGTTTTTGTAGATACATGTACTTGGATCCATAATGCACAGCAATGGATACAACAGGCCTTTAAAGAAAGGTCTGATCCACCTCAACAGCCTTTTCCACTGCATCACAGCTGAAGTCAACACTGCTCTGCAGCTGGTTAAGATTTAGCCCTCAGTCAGTAATTCTGGGGTGGAGTAAATTGTTCAGGAAGAAAGTCATAAGGAGATTCAGGGTGCTAATCCTGTAGGACATTTCCCAAGTCTGTTGGACCTGTTTTTCTCATCACTTCTCAGAGGATGAATAAGAAGTAAAAAAAGGTAACTTAGTATTATTTATAGCTATGAATAAAAACAAATCCATCTGTCAATCTAACATCCTTGAATGTTAATGGGCAGTGTCTCATAGGCTTTGGTAGTTATTAAATTGACCAATAACAAGAATCATGTAGGCACAAATAGAAATTTCAGTAACATTTGATATAAAGCAAAACTATGGAAATTCATACCTGTCCTATATCTATAGCTGGATTTATGCTGAAACAGGCATCCATGACAATGTCAGTTCTAATATTCTGTTAAATAAATAAAAGGTGTTACACAGTTATAGTTAAAATACACAACAAAGGGATCCTAAATAATCTACAGTCTCATCCATGAAAGATGTGTTATCAGAAATATTACAAATTTATTCTGAAACATGAAAGCTGCTTGAGACAGGCTGTACAGATGGAGATTTCATTTAGAAAACAATTTTTGGTGGTTGTCTGACACTTGGAATGTGATGCACACATCACACATCCTGTAGGTAACAGGATGATCGTGAACTCAAGAATGGCTTTGTTGCTTGTTTTCCTATAGAAACTGCATTGCTTGAAGTGATGTCCAGTCATCTCCTGTGCTTTGCTGTGAGTGTGGAAGCACAGTCACTTGAACAGAAGCTCCTTATGTAGAGAAGGGGACAGGGAAGAATGTCTCATGGGCTGTTATTATACGATGTCCAGTGGCTTCTCTTAAGTCCCAGTATGGTGTACAGTTTGAGGAGGTTCACAAACTCCAGTGATTTTGGAGTCTAGCTCCACATGGGCTACTGGATATCTGGCAGCCTCTGCAGCCAAATATGCTTCTGCATGAACCAGAAGACATTGAATGGGTCTCCATATAGGGCTGCTGAGAGCTCTCCCTGCACTAACTCCCCTTTGCAACAGGTCATGTTATGTGACTGTGGCTTCGCCTGTTTTAAATGTAACTGTTAAAAGGAGACTGTAACTAATGATATGGTCCAACCTGCAGGGAGATGTTCAGAAGGTCTAACTGAATTTTAAAGTCATCACATATGGTACAAACATTAGACCTTTTTTATTTTCCACTGTTATCATAGTGTTTCTTATTTTTCTGATTAACATCAGGCTTCTATTGCAAGAAAAGGATGACCAAATGACATTGTAAAGGGCACTATAGCCATTTATTGTTCTGCTGGCTATGCCTCTATTCTTATTTAAAAAAATGCAAGAGAAAAAAATGTCATAGGAATGTAATGACAGTGGAAAGTTCACCCAACTCTACTTCAAATTCACTGTGTTTTTTGACATTACCTTGTGGGCTCCTGTCAAACAGTCAATTTCTACTTCAGAACATGCAACTCCAAAGAGAAAATACGGGAATGCATGGCCTTTCTGTGTGTCCCAGTTCATGTTTGTATGATAACCTCTGGAGGAAGTAAGAACATTATATGAATTTGATCAAGATACCTCCCACTCCCTATCCTTGTCCTCTCTGTTGAGATCACTAAAAGAATCATATATCATGATATATGAGTTAATAGCTTTACACTGAAGGAGAGTAGGTTTAGGCTAAATATTAGGAAGAAATTCTCTGCTGTGAGGGTGATGAGGCACTGGAGCAGCTTGCCCAGAGAAGCTGTGAACTCTGCATCCCTGGAAGTGATCAAAGCCAAGTTGGATGGAGCTCAGAGCAACCTGGACTAGTGGAAAGTGTCCCTGCCCATGGCAGGAGGTTGGAACTAGATGATCTTTAAGGTTCCTTCCAACCTAAACCATTCTGTGGTTCTCTGGTAACATAAACTCTTTAAGATATCTATTTTCATAGGATCCCTGTAGTCAAAGATAATCTGGAGTGTAGCACCACTGATACGTTGTGTGGAATAATTTGGGCACATAGGAGGGTTGCAAATCATGATGGCCATGGGATATAATTCCTTGTGGGCTTCCTGTGTCTTACTGTAATTGACCTTGGAGAAGACTTTGAGCATTGTCAAACTAGCTAACCAGGGATATAAAGTGCTTCCAAAATCTATATGGGTTGAAGAGAAGAATTCCTTGTTAAACGCTGCAGTCTCTGGTCAAGGCAACTTGTTAGTGGTTTGTGTGCTGCATCTGATATGGCCTTAAGAAAGGTGAATGGGGCCAGTTTTATCCTTCCTACAACCTACTGACAAAGTAGCACCTCCAATGATGAGAAATTAAAAAAGATTGATGTCTTTCCTTACTTGAAATAGCCAGTAGCTGAAAGATTGATGCTTTGCTTGTGAGCTTCACTGATCTGCAAAAAGTATACTCAATATTAAAGAGAGAAAATTAAAAATTCTTTTCCTCACATTTAAAGAAAAGGTGAAACTTGAAAAAAATTAAAGAAAAAAAGAGCCCTGAGTAAAAGCTTTATATTCCCTTGTGCCCTGGACATGTCTTTAGGAAGCAGGGGGCATTACAAAACCACTAAAGTTGGCCAAATTCACCAGAACATTGTGTTGTACCACTTGCTTTTACACCATTTTACACCTATTTACTCTTTCTCACTTCCAGTTTAGTTTATGCAGGGAGACACTTTTCTCCCTCCAGAACAATGTCAGCTTTCACTCTACACTTCAGGGTTTATCATAATTTAACACTACAAAGCAGAGAGAGATATTTACCCAGTCTTCCCATTTGCCATCAGGATTGTCTCTTCGAATAGGCTCCAGGCGCTTCCAAAGGATTTGACAGGCATTCTAGGCAGAAAGAAGGCTGGATACCAGTGACTAACCCACAACCCCAAATCTGTCTGCTGATTTCAAAGCAATACAGGCTCTTTCTTGGTGAAATTAGTTTGTTAAATTCACTCTGAGGGCTGTAATTCTGCTCATTTACGTACAGTTTCTTTACTCTGCTATCTGCCAGCTAGAAGGCAGCACTTTGTGAAGACTGGCATTAGCAACTGCTCTAATGTAACTGAAGTATTCGTGTATCAGGCTATTGCTGAAACCATCAACAAAAGGAAGATAAAGGACTTGACTCTCTTCCTATTTTGATACGCTAGATGGAAAAACCAGTGGCTGGAACAATTCATTTTATAAAATAAATGAAAGTGGAATTGGTCCCAAAGCATTTAATTGCTGACTATTAAAAACAGTACCTGAAATATAACTTATGCTAAATTTTCCTTTAAATTGTGTTTAAATACAAAATAAAGTGAAGATCCATAAATTCATCTAGCAGCAATCTAAAAAAGAACAGCACCCACATTTGTAAATCTGATACAGTAGAGCAGAGAAAAGTGACCCTTTTTAACAGTGTTCTGTAATTTGCCTCGCTGTAAACTATGCATATAAAGTAAATTAGCAAGTGGAATTTCGAGATAAAGAACTGCAAGCTGCACAAAACCAAACCAAAAAAATAAATTTGAATCCCCAGAGGGACATTTAGTATTCAACAGAATCACTAATTATATGAAAAAATGGTAACAAGTCCAACCTGCACTGCTCTTGCATTGATTTCAGTTCCGACTGATCCTGCTGTGTATTTGCCATTAGGCACAGTTGTTGTGCTTGTTTCACAGAAGTGGATATATGACAGTGGTATCTTCAGTTCACGACTGGCAATCTGTAGTAAGAGTAAACAAAAAGCCACCCAGTCTCAATCGAGATGCAGCCAAGAATTCATCGTGCTGTTCATCTCCCTATATATTTGCACATACAGAAAAATTACCTAATTCAGGGACAAATGCTTGTTTTCCTTAATGATTATTCTGTAAAGCAAATATTTTATATATAAGTTCTATATAAATAATAGAATATAAAACAATACAATGTAGTACTATATGTTTTTTCTCTAATTTTTCTCTCTAATAAGGTTTTTGTTACAAATGGAAAACTTAATCAAATTTAAAAAACAATGAATCATTCTCCCTTATCTGTATATCTTATTTTCTATCTCATTTGAAATGGCTTTGTTTGTGTTCCCACCTTATCATTTTTCACCATGTTCTAATATTCCAATGTTCATGCAGCCCATTTTGAAGAAGTGGCTTTATTTTAGCTCCAAAATGACATAGTTTTGTTTATCACCATTTACACCCGAAATGCATAAAAACTAAGTGATGTTATCATTGATGTTGGATACACAACAAAGTTACATTTTCAGCATTTTTAACTCTCTCTGCTACAAAACATTGGGGTCATTTTTGCATGTGCCTTCTGTGCCCTAGCTATCCTGATAACAGTGATGTTACCACAAAGATGCTTTTTCCTTTCTAGGTCTTGAAAGGTCACTTTGATTATTGCTTGTGGTTTTTTTCTGAAGCTTTGTCTTCGTCAATAACTCAAAAGCAACAACTCAATATTAAACTCATCTTTCTTATGTCTATAGATTTTACTTATTACAGTTCTTACTGCCATTCATCCTTTTTGCTCAGTTATCCTCCTTACATTTTTTTTACCCTCAGGTACTAACTAACTCACCTGTAACATCTTAGTGTGAATTCCTTGTCCCAGTTCAATTCCACCATGAGTGATTAGCACAGACCCATCTATATAGATGTGGACAAGAGCTCCAGCCTAAAGAAGAGCCACAGAAACTTGGTGATTTTCTTACTTCACTGAACAAAGGTGTATAAAAAAAACTAACAAGGCAAAGACAGATTTAATTTACAAGATCAGTATATTATTCACCTGGAGTGGAAATTCTCCAGCAGTCTGACAATAACAAATTTCACTGTTCTAAGACATGACAGACTTTAAATGAGCTAGTACTTATTCAAAGGAGTTCTGCAGGGATCACAGTAATTAGTTCAAATAACGGAAAACCACATTTTTCTTCTTGTGAAACTGGGTAAAGCAAGAACATGCTGGCTCTACTTATAATGTGTATGTGTCCCCAGCTATTATTCCCTCTTCATCTGGGATGAAAAAGGAGGACAGAGCAGAATTTGAACCTGGAATCAAAGGCATTTTCAACAGAGGGTAAGGTATTTCCTACTATGAACAGCTATAGAACTTTTCTTTTAGAACAAACAGTAGTTGACTTGTACTTTTGGTTTTTTGAAACAGAGGGATTTGCATGTGTCTAGAGGGGGATGATAATAAACTGATGTTCCTAGTATCTAATTTTGATGGAGCAATGACACAACTGCTCTTCCCTTCTCTTTGCTAGGCTGTCAAGAGAAAGGCTTAGAACTTGACTCACTCCTTGTATCTTGGTGCAGCCTTCTCCCAATAAGTAGCTATCTTAAACAGGAGAAATGCAAGATGCAGGTTGGAATGGAATTAATGAACTTTAATTAGTGGTAAAATTGGAAATAAATAACTTTCCAAGGAATGGTGATGAAAGAAATCGATCCCACAGAAGACATCCACTCCTATAAAGGAATAAGTGGACATGAAAGAGAACTAGAAATTCTGTAAAGAGATGCTTCAATGTGGCATTTAACAAGCTACCAACACTCAGAGCAAACGGTAGAGCCTGAGAGGTGTTGTGAAATACAGTGCCTTGGGGACACCTTTTAATTTGTTACCAATTCTACATTGACAAATAATGGTCATGTGATCTCTTTGGTGTCAGCTTGTGGTGTTTGCAAACACATGACATTTTGCTGCTGTCAGTTAGAGTCTTAGCTGACAGGAGCAAGATTAAACAATAAATCTCTAAGATTTAAATCCAGATATTTGGAAATTCAGTGCAATGCCTGAGCTTTATTTTGAAGGTTTTGGGGAAATATAACTATTATTTATGCTTTTTTTAACCTTTTGTTTATGTTCCCCAGATTCAATGTTTCTTTACCATGAGAACATTGTTGGATGAAATATACTGATCTCTCCCTGAGCTCTTCATCTACAAACTTGTGCAGAAACAATCAAGGGATGGAATAAACTACTGACTTATAGGCTATGTGGATTTCCTTTTTTATGCACTCATAAACAAAGAACAATGTTTGTTTATTTAGTCTGAGACTCATTTGAGAGAATTTTTTATTCAAGACCTGCATTAAAAAGAAAAAAATAGTCAGAACTGAAAAGTTTCCCCAGAAATACTACTATCTTGACCCATAAAAATTTCCAGTAGCAGAGCTTAACCTATAAAATAAATGGTACTATCAGAACTATAGGAGTGATAATTTTTCTTACTATGGACTAGGTTATGGAAGATTCCAGGTACCACAATTTTATAGTGAGTTACTTAACTTTATGCTGGATAAAGATGTCACATTGGGAATCAGAAATTCACATTTCTGTGAGGTGAATATTCATAGAATCATAGAATTGTTTGGGTTAGAAGGGACCTTCAACCCAAGGGAAGATCATCTAGTTCAGCCAAGGGAAGATCATTTAGCCCAACCCCCTCTAACATGGTCAGGGACATACTTCACTAGAGCAGGTCTCTCAAAGCCCCATCTCATTTATAAAGCATTTATAAAGACATTGGCCAGATAGAGCAATACTCTTCCTGAAAGTATATCTTAAGGGAATAATATTTTATGCTAGTCCAGCATACTGGAATTCTTTTCCCTTTCCTTTCTGCCTGTAGAGATTATACTTCCTCTGTTTTTGGAGAGAAAAGTAGAGATCTTAGATCACAAAAGCACTGTGTTGAAAGGGTTACCTGATGAAAATAAGTTGCATTAAATCCAACAGAAAACTTCATTGGAATTATGGCAATTCCTTTCTTTTTCCAATAATTTTTAGTGTTAAATTCTTCCACCATTGCTTTTCGACTGTAGTAGTCAGATTTGTCCAAACATTCTTCCCAACACTTCCACAGATTCTCTGCATCAAACTTTTCTTTGAAGGATGTTAGGTTAACTCCTTTGTACATGTTTATTTCCCTAACCTAAACACCAAGCAAATTCAGTGCTGAAAGTAAACGTTGCTTTATAATACATTGGCATATTATATACAATATAATGACATGGCACATAATGATACAATAATATAATTAATACTTATCTATATTAAACATAATGTCCTATCCATCACTGCACAAATGGCCTGATTTTTTTGCTCACATCAAATGCCTGTGAATTTAAGTTGTGTCAGTGGGATTATTTACAAGGACTACTCAATGCAAAGAAGGTTGGTAAACTCAAATTTTAAATAAGATCAGTGAAAGCAGAAGTTAAAGCTAAAAAACCTGTTTGTCCCTTGGAGATGTGTCTGAAAGCTTTCCTGAAATGTGGTAAAGGACAGCAAGTAAATGGGAGAGGGAGAAGATTCAAAGAAATAGCGAAAAGACATGATGGTTGTCATCCTAGGAAAGTAAAATGATTTATAAACCATAGTTTGAAAATACAAGAGGTTGGCACATATAAAAGAGAAAAAGCTCACACTGGGTTAAGCAGCATGTAAGGAAAGGATAGCTCTTGAAGACTGGAGAGGAAATGGCAACAATAAAAACTGTTGAGACACTCTCTCTGAAGGCTGGGGAGACAGGGATGACAGAGCCACCTAGTTAAACTGCTGATAGATAGATAGATAGATAGATAGATAGATAGATAGATAGATAGAAAAGTTGGTAATTCCAGTTCTAAGAGGTTGAGAAAAGGGGACAGCTGAACATACACCAGGTGATCTAAAACCGGTCACACAGTACAAGAGATAATACTATTTTGACTGAAGCTGGTAATACTAACAGCAGTCACCAAATATTTTGGAGCAGATCCTGGGCCAGTTTTCTCCACTCTTATCTGTATTATATCAAGTATTATTCCATGGAAGCATAGGAGCTGAATGAAGTACCATTCAGTCCAACTAAAGTTGTACATCTCTTTCTACAAAAAGTGGCTTAAGCACAAGGAGCTTAAGTCTAAGTCTTAGAATTGTCTGTTAACTCATGTTTTATTTGGCAGTCTCAGCTCTTTTACCTTCTCATGTGGTAGGCCAGTTTGGGTCGCCACAGCCACCATACAGGTCTCCATAAGCAGACCTGCTTGGGGAAACCCAAATCCTCGGAAGGCAGTATTAGAAGGCAGGTGAGTCTTGCAGGCATGTCCCCTGACTCGGAGGTTGGGGATATTGTATGCATTGTCCACTTTCAACACAATGTACTCAATCACCTGAAATAAGAGATGACAGTTATTCAAATGGTTCCATTTCCTTTATAGAGACAGTGAAACTTGTGAAAGACACTCAAGAGACCAATAATATGTAATTGTTTTAACTTTACTCAGGAGGCTTGTTGTTCTGCTGGTTTTTATACCAATGGAAGTAAAGAAACCATGTCTAAATCAGAGAAACTGCATTTAACTCATAGGAATTTCAAGAGCATAAAGAAGCATTACTAAGGGAAAAATCAGACCTTCAGTTTTGGGGAATTGAAGGAATGAGTTTATGACAGTAGGCTAGCTAATAAAACTTAGTGTCTCTTTGCTTCACAGAACTTTTAATTCTGAATTTTCTATGTCCAGAATGACCTGACAGGAAATATTGTACCTCCTTAAAGATACTCTGTAATTGACATCTGGGCCACAGGTGCATTTTTGCTTTAGGTAGATGAGAGTTTTACTTAACAAGAACAGGAATATTCTTAGGAGAAATAAACTGTAACAAAGGGCTGTTATTTTCATTTTGTGACCAGTTCAGTCAGTGTGATTGGTATCAGCAAAGAAGGACTTACCAACTCAGATTCATCTTTTGTACAGCCACCATTTATATAGCACTGAAAATCTGCAGCTATTATTCTACCATCATTCATGAATCCAACCTGTAATATAGAAACTGATGCATTAGTGGTCTTTTCTCTCATGTATTTCAAACTTCCCTTTATAAATAAGCTAACCAGTTAAGAAATATCACACCTGAGGTTCACACTACAGAACTCAATGGGACTGTTTCCACTGAATTGGAAAAATTACCTGCATAGATTTCTGTCTATAGGATGGTATTGGTTTGGATCTGAATATACAAACCAAAGAGCAAAATACATACAAACCCCACAAATCATCAGAGTACCTCAGCTGCCCACAAAGCTGTTCTCCCACACAGACATTGACTATACCCACACAGAATCTGAAAAGCTTGTTCACTGCTGTGTTGAGTATGAACAGAGACCAGAAATAGGATGACAAAAACATTAAAGAAAATATTCGCTATGATTATACTAATTCTACTTTCTGAAGTATTTATTTTGTAATAATGCTTTCACTATCTAGGCAATATAGCAATATGAACCAGTGATGCATATATTTTGCAGATTACACATTCAGAAATATCCACTAAATTTGATTTGATTCTGGTTCTGGTTCCTTCCTCTTCAACTCTTTTTTTTAAAGGTTTTATATTTTAATGCATTATATAATAATATTTAAAGGGGTACAATCACAGAAAACTGCAAAGTAAGCAGAGACCAACTTGTTAAGTTATATAAACTGATGCAGCTCTACCACAATTAAGGATAAGAAAACTATAGATAATGAACATTACTGCTGGCTAAATCCTGCATAGCTGCACAGATGGGATAAGAGATGGGACTGATGGGGAGAGTGTTTTTTACTTAATGTAGTTAAGCAATTAATACAGGTTTTTCTGTTATTGTATTTAATTAAAGGAAAGGTTAGTGTTGAGGTCAGATTTAGGATTTGAGAGATCAAGAACAACATTCCTTCTCCTTCAAAATTGTAGCTGTTATCCAAATTTTAGGGAAAAAAAGGGAAGTTGTAAGTACATCAAAACAGAATATGAATCATCCATCTATGGGGGCTTATTGAAAAGTTCTGCCCCAGCAACATATTTTATCCTAAATTTAAAATGATAACAGGTAATGGGAACCCAGAAGAATATGAAATACATGTGCTATTGACATCTGTCAGTCACAATTCTTGTCTTATGGTTAAAACAAAATTTAACCAAAAATAAAACCTTCCTCCTTTCTTCTCCCAAACCAGTTCTAAACCTAGTCTAATCATAACCAGAATTGAACAGTATCTTTGGGAGCAATATCTTCAGCAAAATTAAAAATACAAGCGGTCTCTCCCAGGAACAGTCATCAGCCAAACTCTACCACTCATGCAAGAGTCCCTAGGAAAGCCAACTCCTCAGCCCTTCTTTATCCAAGCCATATTGAACAATAAACCCTGTCCCAGAGGGTTTTAGTGTGTTTAATTCATACACCAACACCAAAGAGAAGGGTTTTGATTCTGCCACAACCAGTTGCCAAGCTGATTTCAGTGCTGGCATTGTTTACCTATATAATGTAAGGATTTAGAAGTCAAAAGTAAGAGTTTTGCTAAAAGTTGAATCTTGCATTACCTTTCAGGGCTGGCTTTGTATTGGAGGAGTGGCTCATATTCAATTCTGATTTACAAATTTGTCATCTGTGGATGGGGTAGGTCTGATGTTAGCAGTATTCTAAAGGAAAATAAGGGATGGATGGTTCTTCTTTTTCTGGATATTGCATGGCCTGTAGGAGTAGGACAATAGCTGTTTTTTTGATTCATGGCATATGTCAGGGTACTTTTAGGACTGGGGAAAGTTGGTGCTGGATTAGGATTTCAGAAGAGGAGGAGTTTGGTTTCTTGCTGTGTCTTGTTAGCCAATGAAATTATGCTGATTTGTCTCAGAAGAAACTAAGTAACTAAGCAAAATATCTTTTTTCACTCACTTTATATTTTCCAAAGAAAGGGTGCCGTCCACCAGTGATTAACATATCCATATTTCTTTCCAGGACAAAGCGGACTGGATGCCCGGTCCTAAAATGAACATTAAAAAAATCCACTTTTATTACAGCCTATTGATGCAGATTGCAAATGACATTACATGTACATGGCCAGACTCCTAGTGGTGGGTGGCAATAAATCAGTCCATTCAATATTTTAGTTTCTTATTAACCTACTATGCCTGAGTTTAGGCTGATTCAGCTTTTTTTTTTTTTTTTTTTTTTGCAACAGAAACAAAGTAGAGGAAGTGAGCTTTTCTGTAGTTTTCCCTTCAGCTTCTCAACAGGGGAATGCAAGTTCCATTGAGCATGCACAGGACATGGAAAGCCAAGGAACTCAAAAGACAGCTGTGGCACAAAGGGCTGATGTGACCATACCTGTGTATTAGGATAAAATACACTTGGCACTGAATATCTAGAGTGAAATTCATATCACCATGTCTCACAGAGGCCCAAATGGTTGGGATTTGCACAGATCATCCCAGAGGGAAACTGCCTCCATGCCTTTGTTTTAGCTTTCAGATAGTAAGTGAATGCCATTGTCAAAAGCCCAGAGAATTTTCAAGCTGCTAAAGATTTACTTTACTTTCAAGATTTACTGCTAAAGAGATAAAAATTACGATGTCATCAGGATAACCCTCCAAGTAGGGTTCAGGACTGAAGTTTCTTTTTAATTCAGTCTTGTCATTTTTAATTTATTTTAGTTAAATCACTCTTTTGATTTAGTGAAATCAACTTACTTGTTTGCTGCCACAGCTGCAATTACAGCAAAGAGGGAAGGTTTAGTAACCTTCCCACCAAATGCTCCACCAACACGTTTCACATGGCACATAACTTTACTGGACTGGAGGTTTAAAGCTGAAGCCACTAATTCCTGCAAAAGTGAGCATCCAGAATTTTACCTGCCAAAGTACATTAAAAAATGCCTATTTTCTATGACTAATCATGTATTAAAAGCTATCAGGTTTAAGACTCCTGGGCAGAAAAATAGAGTTGCTATAGGTACAAATAAATAAAAAAATTCAAACAAGTAAACATGCTAATGAAAGCACAGTGTAGTCTTTAAAGAACAGTAGAAATGCAAAAAACAGCTCTGAAAACTAGTTTGATCATCTGATGCCAGATATGATAATCCCTATATAGAACTGCACATTCACCTGCAGCTGGAGATAAAGCATCTACTAGAATAGCAAGCTAAATGGAAGAGAGTGATTGTTTAGTGCACACTAGAAAATGTAACTAAAATCCTGACATTGCATTTTGAAAATACCTCCTCTGGCAGTGTTTCGAAAGATGTAAGTAGAGATTTAATTTGTGGGGCTGACAGGGAAAGCTTGAAAAATGCAAGCCAGTGATGAACTGCAAAAGCTAATACTAAGCATGTAGAAATTACCATTACAATTTTTTAAACTGTTGTTTTCTACAGGCCTACAATCCAACTCTGATGTCAACTAGAACCTGTTAACTTTTTTCACATAATTTCACATAATTCATATGTCATTATTGTTTCCATATTAATTTATCATTATTTACATGTGATTATGACCCCCATCATCATCAGTGTAACTACTCATATGAGCAATGCAACTTGTTTGAAATACACTTTCTGAAGAAGACACTCATTGCTGCAAAAAAAGTGATTGTCCAGGATTGTACTGGTTCTCACTGATTTTAGGAGGATTTGGCCAATATATCTAAGACAGAATTAGTCTTTTCTTAATATTATTGCAGTCATATTATCTATCCAAGATACTCTTTGTTCATCCCATAGTAATACTGCTCATTTGTGTCTGTACTGCCTTGTATAATACAAATAGCACAATACTGTTCCATTCAGCTTTATGATTAGTAGTCAGGCCACTTACATTCATAAAAGGATTCAGATCAATTAATCTGAATTGGGAACACCATCGGGGAGTTTCAAGAGAAGCAGAGAAGACTGAAAGCAACTCCTGTCATGTAATTCAGCTTTAAGGTTATTTAGGAAGGTAAGAAACAAGTCTCATTAATACTTTGTTTTACCTGTACATCTGTTGCATGCTGAGTTGACACATACACATCCATTTCTTTATCCTCCACTCTTGGAATAACAAGTACACTGTTTGTTTCCATGTAAAAATGTTCCTGTCCTCCCATGTGCAATTCACCTGTTACATATATAATTATTAGAAAATAAACTGAGCCTCAAATGAACTGCAAGGAAATTTATATTTGACTATGTATATGTATATAAGGCAGAGAAAAAGAGTTTTGCCACAGAAGAAAAATAGATTCATTTATTTTTTTATTTTTTTGTATCTCAGGTTTGCACCTCTTATTTATAGACTTTTGTTTATTAAGAGAAAATTATTCAGTCAGTATCAACTCAATATGTCATGCTTTTTCATTTTCAGGTAGTTACATCTCTTCTGCTATAACAGGATTATAATGTCTCCTTGTGAATCATTCTATGAGGGAAAATATAGCTTTCCTCTTCCTTTTTTATTCTCTTTCACTTTTTCTACCCATTTCTATCCAACACTTCACCTTTGTACCATTTTCTTTAAAGAGAGGGAAATCTGTCAGCACACCATAGAAGCTAATTCTGCAAATTCTCTGTGTAACCTTAACTTTATGCCATCCTTGAGTGTGACGTTATTTCCCTAGCGGTTATTCCTGAGACACGTTTCCTAAAACACATGTTCATGCAGAAGCAGTAGGAATCAGAACTGAAGCCACTAAGGGGTGACATGCAATTTATTTGGGAACAGCTGGAAAAAGTCAAAAGCAGAGCAGAAAAAAGATCATCACAGGCCATGAACCTACATGGAGAAGACTGTAAGAACTGAGTGGGCCCAGCCCAAAGAATGAACCTTCAAATGGAAGGCAGCTGCAAAGAGGAACAGTCTGTGCTACATGCTCACAGTAGAGAGAACAAGAAGCATAGTAGTACTTAAATTACAACAAATTGCTTTGATGATAGGAAGGGTGAAGCACTGGAACAAATTACCTGGAGAGACTGCAGAGTCATAATGATTGGAGGTCTCCAAGAACAACTTAGATAAATCAGTTCATGGTACAGATAGAACTGAGGTTGGAAAAAGGAAAAGGAGCTGATTGTCTGCTATGTTCCCTTCTGTGATCAAGCAGGCTGTAATTCATGTGCACTTAGTATTCAGTGAAGAGAAAAACTTGGTTGCAGAAACTTAGGGAATGATAACAGCTGAAGGTAGGTTTGATAATATATCTCATGAGAGGACAATCAGAAAAGCGCGTGAGCAGGACACAAGTTGTCTAAGCATATATAAAGTGGTCACTAATAAATTTCAGAGCTGCATTCAGGGGTTAGAAACACAGATTTAGGGGAAGTGTTAAAACTGGCCAAGCCAGTGTTCAGAGAAGGATATCTTGGTATCATACACCTTAATTTTATTGTCTTTTTACACTGATTACTCTTATAAGCAAATTGAGAAGCACAATCCACATTAAATCAGGGATACTACTGTTTGAAAACTGAACTCAGAAAGTTCTAGCTGTCAGTCTGCAAAGCTCATGCATGTAGAATCATAGAAGAGTCTTTTCTGGGTCTAATGCTACCTCATGGTTGCTTTAATAATTAATGATTAAACTATAAGTAGTATCAAACTGGAAAGGGTTGCAAGCCCTTTAAAGGACAGGTTTGTATTTCAAAGTGATTGTTCTACACTGGAGGAAGAGCCTAAAGTCAACGGCATGAAGTTCAGAATGGGCAAGTGCCAGTACTTTAGACAGCACTATTGAACCAGATCCAAGCAGGGATTACAGAGGAGCACAGCTTAGCTGTATATCCACAATTGATACCACTACAACAACCTAATCTGGCTCTGTGATACTAATGTTACATAGAATTTCTGAGAGACTCCACTTGGCATTGGTGAAACCTAATCTGAAATATTACCATAGTGGAGTTGGATGTAGTGAAATTAGAGATGATGGAGAAGTGAACAGTGGCAATGTTAAAGGTTAGCAGACATGATTTACGGATCAAAGACTCTGTTTAAGAGGGTGAACGTTTAAAGTTTGCAGGAAAGCACATTTAGATTAAGTATTGCGAAAAAAAGCCTTCTAATTATAAGGACTTTTAAACTCCAGAGCTAACTCCAGAGCTTGTGAAATATTCTTCATTGATACTTCTTAAACATAGGTCTGATACTTATGAACAGAGTATGCTCTGGAACCACTGGATTGTGTCTATGATTTGAAGACAGTGAATTTGGTGACTGCAGGAGTGGTATTCCAGACCAATTTACTCTGATTCCCTTGTTTCTGGGATTAGCTCTAAATCAAGCAATCAGCTTAAAATGGGATAAGGTAAGTTAGCTAACATCAATAAACAAAGCCTTACTTAACTGTAATGTTTGTCCTAGGGCACTTTATTTTAGTGAGACAAGGAAATGGTAGAGTTTAGTCAACATGAGCTAGCAGGTGCTAGCTAAGATTTATTTAAAACATGACACATTTCAGCTCCATTCCCAGTGAAGGGAAAAAAAAACAACAAGAGCAAGGTTTTTTGAGAAGAAATGAGAAATTTAAATTCATCCACCAGCTGGAAATAGATTCTGAACTAGCCTAACTCTCCTCCCTTGCCTGATGCACTTAATGTTTTAACTACCTTCGATTATTTCATCAGCAGACTTGAATCCTTTCACAGTATCTCCTTTTTCTATTTTCCTTTCTTCAGTAATGTATGAATTATGTTTTATTGCATCCTGCAGCAAGAAATAAGACAAACATATTAATTGTAAGACAGAAAGTTAGATGACTTTTATCATTCATATGATCCTTTTTCAGATGGACAGATGGCTGTAGCTAAGTATTAGAAGGAGCAGGATAGTTTTTCCACTATTAGAGAGGGTTTTTCTTTTTTTTTTTTCATAGTTCATGTAATTCTCTTCTTCCCCCAAATTAGAAAGATTAAATGTCTGTTAATGACATTCAGAACTGCTGAAAATATTTCAGAATCAGATTGTTTGCTACTGAAAACCTGCTAGGCTTGAAAATGTTCAGAACATGGATGTAGGATGTGTGATACCAGCACTTCTGCAACCATAAGTTCTCAAATTTAGTTTTATACTGATGTACTACTGCTGGGAATTGCTTGCTTAGAACTTTCTGAATATTCTTTAGTAATTTCTACGTAGATCTACAAAGACCACTCTCCAATATACTGGATGAATATGTACCTAGTAAGACTTTATGTGTTTCTAGAACCAAAATTTTGGAAGCCATTTATAAACTTTTTACGCTTCATATTCAGAACCAATAAAGTCATATCTCATACCAAAAAAAAGAAAAAGCCAAAGCCTGGCAGAGCTCTGCACAAGGCAGAAAATAGTCAGTGAGGTGACAGAGAGCTCTGTCAGACAAGGAAGAGGAGACAGATTGTTACCTCAATAGTCAGAATTGGGTCCAGATCTTTGTAGACTATCTTCACCTTTCCAGCCCCACACTTTGCCTGAGTCAGTGACTCTGCAACCACAGCACAGATTATCTGACCAACACAAATCACCTGCAACACATCAATGTATTACCCAAGGAAAAAATATAGTAGTGGTTAAGTTTCTGTACAGGAAGTGTTTTGAGGAAATAGATTCTACTCAAATGCCACTTTTATATTCTGTTTCTCTAAGAATACTATCCCAGTGCAGACTTATCTTCATTAGATGAGAAGCCTATTAGAATCTTTCATTTGCTGCAACATTTCTGGCATTAGAAATGCTGCTGACATCAGTAGTTATGAACATTTCCCCTGTGTTGATCCTGAGGTGGCCAGATACTGGGCCAAGTAAAATCCCATCTGCACAGACTGCTTTCCTTGTTTGTATGCAGAAATGAAGGAAACTCAGAGGAACAATAATAGAGAGGTAAGAGCAACACATTAGGAATTATTCTTGCCCTATTGCAAATACCATGGAATAGCATCACTTGTGATGGACACAGCCTGAGGCCTGGGACATTCTGTACAGTCATGCTGGATGCATGGATCCTATAAATTTCTTAGCTCTGTCGATATTTGTCAAAAAGAAAAGTGCTGTCTCCCTTTGCCATATTCTAGTGTATAATCTAGCAATGAATTTTATATTGGTTCCAACTAGGCAATTCTCATTTTATTTGTCTCATCTTTTAAAACTTCAGATATCATGGCTGTTTCATACTTTCTCAGAATCCGTGACAATCACTCATTTATCAGCCCTTAAGGAATCATGGCTCATTCACTTAAACCCTAAGTTATTTAAGAGAGTTTTTCCTTTCTCTCTTACTGGGCAATGGTAATTCTGCTCAGCCCAGTTTGCCTGGTTCTGCATTAATTGATTTTGCACTTACTTTCACTTCATTGCAATAAGATGATACTTGCAAACTCACTTTCCTATTTTATAAATAACTGTACCAAAATGTTCAGAGACTCCTCCAGAAGCAAGAAATACCTTATCTTCTGCATATGCTTGCTCATCTTTGCCATTTTTCCCTGGAACATCTCTTGCTGTCACTACATCAACCACTCCTGGCACCTGAAGGGCTTCTGATGCATCAATTGATCTGGAAAGAAGAACACGCACATAAATGAGTACAGTATGTGGTACAAATAACTCTAGTACAAGTAATGCTGTGAACTTTGGGACAGAAAGATAATCTACTTAGTATTCTCATGACAGATCTCTACATAGAGAAGGGGAATGTGTTGATTAGCATATTGAGAAAAAAACTAAATGGAAGGCACGAGCATCTGTGTGTGCATGTCATAGAACAGCTCTTTTAATGCTAGTTCCACTACTTACAAAATGTAAGAATATATTTTTTACACTTTTTTTTGTACTACAATGGGTGAATGCAATTATGTGGACTCTTCTTTCCATATCTGACACTTTTTAAAGCACACAGCAAAGAAATTCTTACCTCATTTGTAATGCATACCTCGTAATATGGCCAAATCAGATAATAAAAATAGAAAATACTTGTTAGCATACTTATGTGCTTGTAGTTTTTTCGTACTTACATGATCTTTGCATGGGCTTTAATGCTGGTGACCACAGCTAGTGAGAGTTCTCCATCCACGGGACGAATGTCATCAATGAAAACTGCCTCACCAGTGGTGTGCTTAATTCCAGACTGGTGCCTGATGGGACGGCCCACGGGATCTTGTGGAGACTGTCCTGGGTCAACATCCTGCAACACATGTTGTCCTCAAGACAGAGCAGTAATTATAGGAGCCTTTACTTAAAAACACTTTGTGAGGATATTTGGTGATCGAAAAAACTATGTGGAACTATCTAAATTTTATGATGATACTTGTGGGATGCATGCATCATAAAGGACTAATTAAACTTTTAGATCATGCTGTCTTGGCACCAAGGTGGCCCTGGCAGATGTCTGAGAAATATACTGTATTAGATACCATTCATGTCTATAGTACATGGCAGTCTCTTCTGTGGAAAGATTGCACTAAATAAACAGAGGTGGAAAAAATCAAGAAAAAGATAGGTAAAAGAGACAAAATGACTAGTTTACACAGTGGAACCACAGCAGATAAAGGAGAGCTAAAATGATCTGGATCTTATAGCTGGCCTGTCTGCTGGGTCCACGCTGCTTCTGGTAGCATCTTGTGCAAGCCACACTCTTACACACTTCACCATCACCACTGCTTCAAACAATCATATTTCATACTGTTTACTTCAGACAAAATATATCTTAAATCAGGACTATATTCAGGAATCATTGTAATTCCTTCTTGTCCATCTTCCTAAAGAGATAGGTAAATTAATATTCTAGATAGTGTTGACTAGACTAAAAAATGGTTTAATTCATTTTTTTGCTATTTAAATTCCCTATTCTTCTATTACTTCAAAGACAGCCTGTAATTGAAAGCATTTCAGACATACTTAATTAAAATATATCTTTGGTGCTCTCTGTTGTTGAATTGCTAGTTCACATTAGCTTGAAACAGACTATTACTGGGGACCACGAAAATCTTCCAACATTTATGTTTTGTTTGGACTTTTACCAAATAAAGAGTTGTCTGTAAAACATTTCTTAGTCTCTCAAAGACAAACACCAAATTCTTGGTTGATGCTGAAAGTTTTTGGTAGAAAACTGATAAGAAGCAGCAAAAGTTTGATTTTAAAAGTTTTTAAATTTTGTAACAAAACAAAAAAAAGGGGGAGAAATCTTGATGAAATTAAAAATTTTTAAAATTGAGATCTTCTACTGAACAAACTTTTTCATATGCCAACCACTTCTCCTTTCTATACTGTAGCTTTGCAAAGAAGTCTTTCAGGCTTGAACAATCACAGAGATGCTGCAGTAGATTATTTCATTTATTTGTACTGAGGCCCACCAGGCAGTTAAACTAAATTCTGCTGAGCTCTTTCATTGCTGAAAGCTGTGTCAGGACAGCCTGATCTGCACAACACCTTGAAGACCAGGAGTGCATCTGTACCCTGAAAGACCAGGAAATCTACAAAAATGTAAAAGATTTCCCACAGCGACAAACATTTCAGCAGCTTCACATTACAATTAGTAGAGGCTTAATAATGGAAGGTTAGAAGGGCAAAACACTCATTAAAAAAGAGGGTCTATGGCAGTCCTAGCTACAAACACACATCACCTGATAGATCTGGACACCCTGGGGAACACCACTTTGCAGCATTCCCAAAGCACTCATCTTCTCCTGTGAAAGCTCAGCATACCTGAAGGGATACTGAAAAGAAGGGATAGTGTCAAAGCAGTGTTCTCAGACCCTTATTTCTAAAAGAAAAGTTTTCCCTTCACATGTGTTGAAAGGCCTAGCACCTTTACCCTTCCCTTTCACATCCCTTTATCTTTAATAAAGCAGAGTTTTCCTGCAGTCTATATGCTGATGGGGGTATGCAATTCTTCTCCAGTGCTTACCATCTGATGTAAACCATGTAACACTTCCAGGTAAAATCTGAAAAGAAAGCTGACAAGCAGAGTTCTCCTATATTCTACTTTTCCACCTGAAGCTGATGGAGGGAGAACAATTTCCTCTAGCACCAGTTTGCAAGCTTCATTCAGCATCTGATCATTCCATTGCCTGGTAAAAAAAGCAGACTAATATGAACACACATCTCTTTATAAGTAACAGGTGGCTAAAAATATTGTGAAGTTTTTGTGAAGTAATAAGTGAATCAGCATAAGTTATATCAAGAAATAATCTATTGTTAGAAAGGACAGGTCAAATACAGTGTGAGAGGCTGATGGTGGGATCTCCACTGGTGCCATCAAGCAAACCCCACGCTTCACACTATGACTCCTTCCTTTTGGTTAAATACATTAAGATATCCAGTACCTTCCTATAAGCTTCTCACAGGACTTTCTTGCACTGAGTGTGGTTGAGCCAATGCCTCCAAATAAAATACTCAGATCTACAATGGTGTCTGTGCCTGGACGGAAGAGCACTCGCATTCCAGAATTCACTATGGACAAAGCATTTTTCTGTCTTTCAGCCTGCCTGAAGGCTGAAACAAAGTCATCCTAATGGGGAAAAAAAAGGAAGGAAAAATTCCATCAATGTTAGAAATGACTGAAATCTATTTTTCCTGTATTTTAGGTGTTACCATTGGCCAAAGTTTTGGTTAAACTTTTTATTTTTCTTGAAGTACTAAGCTAATCCTAGTCTGTTGTACTAAGAGGGGACATTATTTGAGGTTATCTACATGTAAGAAAACATGGTCAAAATTTTAATGACTTTATCAGTGATTTAATGATTTCAGAGTGCTGGAGAAGAACCCTTGTCCTGATATAAGCCACTTCATATATATGGCCTGTATGTTCTTTAATTCCAGCTTAGAAATTTAGTGGTTTCTTCTCCAGGACATGGAGGTCCCACCATGTTAAGGACTCTGATTTTGTGAAGATTTTACACTCAGAGATTTCACATTTTATGCTATAGTAATGGCATTTACAGATGAAGCATTAGAAACAGCTGGGCTTTCTAGTGTCAGAAATATTTTGTTCTGGGGACAAAGCCACATATTTTAAAAGAAAACATAATAGCATTATCTTTCATGATCAGGCATAGATGAGTCCACTGAAGAAACTGTATGAAGTGCTATTTCTGTAGCCCCAGAAAGAAACTTCAGAATCAGACAGCCACAGAACTTTTAAAGTGAGGGTTAGCAGGTTAGATCTTCACTATAAGTATGTGATACTCTCATGACAAATGTGAAATTCAGGATTACATGTTGAACACTGAGTCTTGTCAGAGATGGAAAATCCTCTCAACAGGATTTACATTGCTTTACTGAAGCAATGTTCATATCAAACTACCCAAACCCAAAAGCCAGCAGCTGACAGGAACAACAGGGAAAACTGATGGCCAAGTTTCCCTCTACACATTCTGTTGACAAGTCTTGCAAAAAACCTTTGTGTGTGCCTTTTCATTGTGTTAGCAGAGTTAATCAAAAAGGCGATTCAGCATGAAAGTGAGTGGCAGAAGCAGCCTCCCCAGAAAGTGGTGGTAATTTCCCATGGTGAGACTTCTTAATCTCATATTATTCATGTGACAGCTGATAATTTTCCTGCTCTTCAGAGCAATCTTCTGAGTTTGCCAGCAGTGCTACTGTCTTTTGTTCATTTTGTTGTCCTCACCTCTGCTGTTCCTAGGTGTGACTGTCTCTCTCTGAAAGGCTCTGAAATACTCTTTGTGATAGATTTGGCTTTGTGGCACAACTTGTCATTGGACAAAGCAGGTTGGGATTTCTTTTTTGTTTTACTTTGTGGAATGAAATAACTCATTTCTCCTTAATTTTCTCTTCCAGGCTGTTTGTTTCTCAAATCGCTACTAAGGTTCATAGTTTCTAGGCAGCAGAAGCACTGTTACTGCTGCCAATGCAGCAGTAACTATGCTTTTGCAGGCTTTGAGCTCATGGGAATCCTTTTGTTTTTCGTGGGAAACCTGCCATGGCCAGCCAACTTTTCCTGGGCAGAAGCCTCATCCAGCATGAAGCCACATATGTTTAATAGGTTGCATTGCAGTGGGCAGCTACTCTGGGGACTGACCCTTTGATGTCAAGGTTGGCAGAGACTCCTGTGGTCTGTCGCTCAGTGACTTCAGTCAAAACACACCAGCTTGCAGTCAGGTCTTCCCCTACTCGCCCCGTACTTTTCCTCACATCCACTAGAGGGATATCTAAGAACACAGTAACCAGGACACCATTTCCTCTGCCCCCAACCCCTAATGCCACACGCTGCCACCTTCGGTCGCAATAGTCAGGACTTTATTTTTTGAGTAGTTGCACGGACAACGCAGGATTATTCATTGTAAATCGCTGATGAGTGAGAAGAGGTCAGAAATTACCTTTATCGCTGAAGGCTATGTGACAATATGGCACTTTCCCTGCAAATATCCAGGCAGCCTAAATTTCTGTGTCTGGAAGGGGCAGAAGTACACATTTAAGACTGGGGAAAAAGCAGTAAGAGACCCAAAAGAAGCAGAAGATGATGGCCAGCTGGAAGAAGTGGGAGACGGGAAGAGAAGGATGCCAGAACTTTCTTAGCTACTTCCAAAGCAGTAGTAGCCTGCATGTTGCAATGCCTACTGGAAATAGTGGATATAATGCTAATAACTACCCTGGAACCTGAATGAAACTTTTGAAATATTGGGGTCTTACCTTCATAGAGTATGGAATGAGAACAGAAACAATGACCTCCTTGGCATTTATGTCTGCATGCTCACAGCCAGCAAGGAAACAATCATTTAAAAGAATCTGTCTTTCACCATCTGTTGGAGAAAACTCTAGTCTGTTACTGAATGTGAAGCAAGAAGGAAACATTTCTGCATTGCAGATTCAAATTTGTTGAATCTGTGCAAAAGAATATATTAAGGCCAATATGGCCTTAGAACTGTCTGCACCACTCAGGATCTAGCCTTTGAGTGAAAGGCTAATCTAAGTTACATATTAGGTGCAATATATTTCCCTATATGAATGCTATAGTTCTCCATCACAGATAAAATACTAAGTATTTTATACTTTCTGGAAAATACATGTCTTTCAAATGATAATAATATTCAGAAAAGCAGTTATTTAGGTTTAAATATAGCTATTCTGTTTCTAACTCAAAAGCTCTTTAGACCATTAAATCATTAAATCACAGTAACTTTTAAGAAACTATTCAAGCACTGCAATGAGATGGGGAATCAGCCCTGTACATCAAAGACAGTAGAAATGTTGCCAAGATTTTCCAAAGCTTTAGCTTGATTACTGGTAGCAATTTAAACACAGTGTACATGTATACACACACATACATATCCACAAAAGTACGGATGACCTCGGGAGAAATTTCTAGGCCCTAAAAGTTTTTCTTAAAATGAAACAGGCATAAGCAATAAAAGCAAACAGTGTTGGAGTTACAAGACAGAGCTAAACTGTCTGATAAATGCAGCAATATAACCAAAGGCAGTGTAGAAAGGAGGCCTTTCTACCCATCAGGTGTGCTGACCTTACATTCATGAGATGGCTAGATGCTGCTTCCTTTTGTCTTGTGAAACAGAAAGACAGTGTTTTCTACTGGCAAATACTTTTTGCAAGTTAAAATGACAAGCAAATACCAGGATAATGTTCTCCATTCTCCTGAATATACCATTCTAATTCATTTAGGAGATGCACAGTAGTATTTAATTTGAAAACTGTTACCTGTAGACATATTCTTTGTTGCAGTGTTCTGCCTATCCAACAAAGGTATCTGGCAGGGGGCTCAAAGCTTACCTTCTGATGCCAAGTTGAGGACAGATTTGCCAACTGATAAGATTGGATTCAAGTCCCAGGATGATCCTCTGCTTACAATGTGTCCTCCTAAAGACTTTAACAAACAATGAGGTTATTTTTAGGCTTGCCCTTCCTACATGTAACAGGGATCTGTATCATAACACCATTTTATTCCATTAAAAGACCTGATGGAAGAACTTATATTTGTTTTGTTCAATTTTAAACAAAGTTCTACTTTTGTACATTTTAATGTGATTTAATCTATTGCTCCCTTCAAAAGCCCTTTCTCATATTGTCTCTGTTGACGGAGACCAGGTTTACTTTTTTGCCGCCCAAAGGCATGGCCATTCCCTTGAATTTTCTTCCTTAAAGGAAGAAATACAGGGTATTGCAGTAAGAGGATTTTAAAGGAAAATTAGGGACAAGATCAGAGATGCCTAATACATGATGGGTAAAAAGCTATGTGTTGATAGTCAACTTAAAGCGTGATTGGCTGCACTGTACAGCACCTTACCAGAGAATGTCCCTTTTCTTCTTTTCCCAGTCTCCTCCAGTTCTCTGCTCATCCACTGAGCAGGAATAGCAGAGTTTCTCTTGTCATAGTTCTCTGGGTGTTTGCCCTCACTAACTAGCCTAGGACTCCTAGTTATTTCACACAACATTTGTGATAGTAGTAATGTTTTAGCCTTATAAAGCACGATCCCAGCCTCATAATTGACATTCACACAGATATGTCTGTGGTGATGTCTTCTTTCCTGTCACTGCTGAATACATACCGCCATGCTCCTGATCTGTTCTCCAGCTAGAGTTCTCAGGTGCTGCAAGAGAGCTCGGTATGTTTTTGTTTTCTCTGCTGGAAGTTCTGTGACTACCTTCATTAGGATGTCTCTGAGCTGGGCCAAGCAGCAGGCAGCTCCTATTACTAGCCCTGAAATCAAATGAGTTTAAACAGTGAAATCATCGTGCCACAGAATAAATGCAATATATAGCTGATATGGCCTCTAAAGAATTGCTTCTGTATACAGCTTTTGGCAGCAGAATGACAAAGAGAAATGATAGGAAGGTGAATTTTGTATTACATGCAATAAGAAATGCAAGTACTACTTGCTAATTCAGCAATAGTTCCCACTATAAAGACATGCCTGAAAAATGTACACTGAATATTTTCACACAGTAGTGCACATCCCTTTTTGTGCTGTGTATCCCCAAGGACACGAATAACAGTTGATTCAGGAGGAAGGGTTGCCAAATTGTCGGAGTCTTCCCAGACTGAGCTGCAAACACTCTATCACACTCCCAGTAGTATCAGAGAAGCCACCACCATGGACTTCAGCGAACACTGAAGTAGCCCAGCCACTCCAAAGAAAGTTCTATAGTATTTCAGATTGGAAATTTATGTTTGAATATTTTGTGTTGAAAATCAAGCCCTAGCCTAATCAATACTCTGTGGACTTTGTTAGATATATGGTTGTGATAGAAAGGCTCTAGACCAGTTGAAAACAAAAATAAGGCTGACTTAGGGCCTTCCCCTATGCTTGGTATCTGCAGAAATTTGAGATTTGAACAAATATATATCCACAGAACAGTTTAATAAATTATCTATCACAATCAATCCATCATTTCAAGACTATAGGTGAGCTGACATATTAGTTCAAAAGGCTCAGTGAAATGAGACAAAAAACTCAAAAGAAAGCTCCACACCAATGAGAGTCAATGGTTCTTGCTGCTTCAGGTGCAAGACCCAAGTTAATTTAGTTGCCATCGTTTGTAACATACTAGAGATAACTTGGAAACTTACCATCACTTGTGCTACTCACAACATGCATTTCTGAAATCCTAACAGGATGGAGAATGATTGGATGATAGGCACCACTGTGATTTCTTTTGAGTCCTGAAAGACGAAGAATGATAGTATGATTAGAGATGTGTTTAAAGAATTAACCATATTCCTGAACATGGAGACTGAAAAACCACTGTAACAAAGTAGTTTCAGTGTCTTATAGGTTTTGTTATGCAGTATCTTGAGTATCACATTTTACTGCTTTTACCAGGCCCATCTGAAGTTCAAAGTCTAATATTGTCTTTTCTGGCTCCTGTTCCTTGCTCCTCTGAACTGGTTTCTGGTCCTTTCCCATATCAAACTCAGATTTCACCTCTCACCTGAAAGCTATACACAATTCCACACATGCTTCATCATGTTTCTAGCTATTCACTCCACCTTTTTATGTGAGCTATATAATTTTTTTGCTTCCCTTGTTCTCTTCTTGTGCAATGTCTTTCTGATGACAATAAAGAGCTTTCCTTTGATGTAAAGAGACTTGAAGTTTTTAATTTAAGAGATTTGCCATTTTGCCAAGTACTACATCATGGGAGTATATTACTAAACAAATGCCATGCCCATTGCCACACTAGGCAATGTACAGATATATAAAAGATCTAAAGGATTCTCTTTAGATCTGGGCCTTCGTTGTCTCAACAGTGAAGGAAATATTCTTACCAAATTCATCCTGATGAATACTCCCTCAAAAAAAGTATACTAACAATTTCTAAAAACAAAACCCTGCCATCCATAATATGCAGAATTTAGCCAATGCCAGGATATCATGCCCTTTTCTGGGCATTATTTATTTTGAGATGCTTGATGTTAAATGGGATGTGAAATGTTTGCCTCTCATCAGCACGAGTCCTTCACAAATTGTGTCTCTGAGACCGAGGTTACTGAGGGAAGTTAGGCAGCACAGATTCTCGACTTGGGTGACAGCTGGTACTAGTCCTAATTTAGTTATTGATTTGCTGCAAAAAAGTCATGGGAAATTACATTGGCCTAAATATTGAAGCACAATCCTTGTGGTGACAAAATGCATTTAGGATCCCTGGAAGAGAAAATGCAGGATTATGTGCCTACTGCACAATGTAGTCCCTGTGTCAGAAGATCTTTTGTCCTTCCATACCCACACTAGTGTTCCCCACAACCAAAGGTGCCTTTGGATACTTGGCTTTCAGCTTCAGAAGCTTCTTCAGGCTAGGAGGAGAAATCCATGTTGTTCTTTTCCCATGAAAAATCAGAGTTGTTCTTTGCTGCTCTTGAGCCATTCTCTGTGGTAGAAATGACAAAGACTTGGTAAATTTGACTAGTGCCAATAAAAATATAAATGACCATATTGCTCAGTAGGACACTGTGTTATGATAGACAGTGAGACACTAATGAGGTTTTTCATCTGAGGTTCCTGTTGTGCTGAACAGTGCTGAGCTTTTATCGTAACTACATTATTGCTCAAGAAACTGAGAGGAGAATGAACTAAATGACTTGGTAAGAGACACACTAAATGAATAGTAGGAGATTAGTTTCATGTTTCTTTCTCCTGCTCTGATGATTCTGAAAGACTCCCATTGTATATGATGTAAATAATAAAGCAATGTGACTGGACTTCGTGGGAAATAGGGATGCCAAAATCTCACTGCATATGTGACAGAAACAAGATGTATTCTCTTAGTCAGGGAGGATCACTACATCCCCATTTGCTGAGAGTCATGTATCTACTATACTAGATCCAAACTAGTTTCTATAATAGGCAAAATGCTTTTAGAAATAAAAATACCTACTTTCCCATTTGTCTGCAAGGACTAGTCTTTTCAGAGATATTGTCTCCTTGGGATGGTTGATCAGAATTTATATTTTTGTTAAATAAAGTGGTTTTCCAGCACCTCCTGTCTTACAAAACTATATAAATTTTTTTTCCACCCTGACAATATCATACATGTTCTTTTCATATTTGACAAGTGCCATGTGGAATCATAATTTCAAAATATGCAAAAGCAATCCCTGTGAAACACCTGTCTGCAGACAATGCAGTGAACAAACAGACCAGGGGACTAGCCAGAAAACAGTTCCAGCTATGGACAGGCCTTCTAGGTAAAAGACATATCTGAAACACAAAAAAGGAGCTATGTGTCTGTGGAAGCAATCATAATCCTACTGGCATGGGCACCTCATGTAGCCTGGAGAAGCAGTTCTGTCCTCCTGGCAGCTCAGTCTGAACACGTAGAGCAGATGATGGCACCTCCTTTCTGGCTGACCAGCTTTTTCAGCCAGCAGCACTTTAGCCAAGATCTTTAATCCAAGTATAAAATTTGCAATATATTCACTTAATACTTGCACTTTTAAAGCATGAGTCTCTCCAAGACAGGTCAATAGCAGAAAAGCAAATTTACTTTCCACTTCATGGTTTCATAAAGGAGCTTATGGCTTACTGAGCATGTTCTGCACTGAGAGACAATCATTAAATAATAAAGATGCACTCTATGACAAATGTTTGCAAAGCCAACTACCACGCAGTGAACAGCATTCTGTAGTACAGTGACAAACCAGAGAACTGTGCCATGCATTTTCAGAACTCAAATAAACTTTTGTGCCTCTAGGGTGGTTGTGTAATATCAGCAAGAACTGCCCACGAATTGCAAAAGGAGTGCACACAAGGAATTTCATAACAAGCTGCTGAAACAGGAGTGAGGATTAAAAAACCGCCTGGAGCTGCCTGCTTGGATTCTGCTCAGTTTGATTTGGGTAAACCCTGCCCTGCTATTTCCACAGATCTCTTCTCTTGCCTCTGTCTGCAGATTATGGGCACTTTCCTCCTCCTCCTCTTTTTAAGTTTCCATCTGTCCTTCTGTGAGTTTCCAGTAACTACTGCAATAAACCCTCTTCTTTCCTCTTCAAGTCATTTGCCTTTCCTGTGGACCTGCCTGTAAGTCCAGTCTCAGGTTGCTAGGGTCTGTTTACCAGCTGGAAGCAAAAAATGACTTGAATCCAACAGAGAATACAAAACAGAAAAGATGGAAAGTTCATTTGGGATCTTTCAAAGTAAATACTATATTCCACAAAAAAGCCAACTGGTCCAAAATAACGGCCATGAGTAAGGAGCTCTTTTGGGAAATGTTGGTTCTGCAGAGGCAAACAATTTGCTTTTTAAATATGATCTATTTGTAATAATGACAACATGCGGATTGTCCACATTGAAATGCCTCATTATTTGTGACTAAAACTAGTGGTTTCTATTTATCTGAGGATAGATGTTTCAGTTTCACAAAAACATAAGGTTTTCAACTTCTGTAGGAACTCAGTCATGCTTGCAAGATAACAGAAGTCAGTAAGGCCTACCATTAGTTCAGGAGGAAATATAAATTCCTGTGTTGGATCCATGGGCAGGAATTGTTCTGGATTGCAAAGACCTGAAAGGATCTGCAAAGAAATTGGGGGGGGAGGGGAAGAGAGAGAGAGCAGAATGCACATATTCAGACTAAGTTGCAAGTCTTTGTCAACAGATGAGATTATTTCCTAGTGTGAGACAGTTTTGACACTTTATAGGTTGTGTTCAAAAATTCAAGATTCCCTAATTAATTTCTAATCTTTAGTTTATTCACACACTACTCAAAAGATGGACTACTCAAGAGACAGACTATCATACCAATCCCTCTCAAGCCTTTGCTTGAAATACATCAAGCTTCAAGAAAAATCTTGCAGTATTTCCTGAAACTGGTCATAGCAAATGTATTGCACCACACTGGGTGCAATGTGTACTGTGGGAAAGTGCAGGGCTGGATGGTATAGTTATGTTCTGTTTATAACTGTGTCTCTTAAGGAGCTTTCTGACAGAGCTTGACATGACAACAAATAATGTCCATCTGATCAGAAAGAATTGTTTTCTGCTTTAGGAGAGCCTTATGCAAAGCTCCTCTCCAGCCTTGCATAAGCACTTCAAGAACCTAATGTTAACAGTGCACCATAAAAATGAGCTTTCTCTACTTGTTCACAGCTGTCTTTTTTCTGCAGAGACCTCTGGTGAGGCTATCCATCTTCTGAGCTTTCAGAAGCTTACATAAAAGAAGACTGAATGTGCTGTGCTAGCAGAACTGGTTTGTATTTTCTGCCTCACTGATTTATTTGTGGAATCAAAAATCCTGTCAAACCAGAGAGCAACAGGTCTCAAGTATATTGAATGGGGAAAAAAAAATTGATATATCCTAGTATGAAGTCTCTTATTCCTTCCCCAATCAGTCATTACCTCTGAACAGATTGTGGCCTTGGTAACTATAAGATCTGGCTCTAGATGACTTAGTCTACTGATTGACACCATTGATGGAATGGCAAAAAAAAATTCTGTGTCTGCTATGATCCTCACGATAGTTAGGGACTAGATATTTGCCTTGGATGAAAGCAACTAGGAGGAATGCAAATCATGGAAAGCCAAATAAGAGGGCATTCAAAGGAACTGCTGTTTTGTAATTGGCAACTACTCCATTGCTAGACTTGTGCTTCAAACAACCTCGGCAGCAGCTCATCAACAATTTTCAGTTCTTAGAGGGGCAGAGGCAACACACAGGTGCACAAATGTCTGCACATCCAGTCACACTCCTTGGAGCTCTACAGTTTTTCACTGTCAAAACAAGTTTTCTTCCAATCACCCAAGACATTTTGCTTTATAGATTTCTTAGAGATTTTCAGTCAGAGAAAATTCATCTAAGGAATTAAAATCCTCATTCTGATGCAAGATCAGTGCACTATGGCCTCTTCTTACAGGTGGATGAAGAGAAGACAACAAGTTCTTAGATGCACACAGGGAATGGAGGACCTTTTTGAAGCAGGATCCTCCTTATGTATACTGGAGCTCCCATATGTACCCTTAAACATAATAATTGTGGAACCTTTGCCAGGACAAACACAAATGAGGTGACTTGTGCTTTTACAATGTGCATATGTAAAGTGAGAATAAAACAACGTGTATTTTGAAGCAATACCAATATATCAGTTGCAATACAACACAGGAGAATGAGACACTTCCCTCAAGATCTTGGAGCCACTAGCAACACAGTAATGCTTATGAAAGGCTTTACAAATATATACTGACACTAAACAGCAATAGTTTTTTCTTCTTCACACACAAAAAAGCAGATATAAATGTTTAATATTGAGATCCACACTCTCACTGGAAAATGTCACTAAATAAGTAAGCCGTATGAGGAGAGGCTGAGGTCACTTGGTTTGTTCAGCCTGCAGAGGAGACATCATTGAGGTTACAACTTCCTCATGAGGGCAAGAGGAGGGGCAGGCACTGATTTCTCTGTGGTGACCAGTGACAAGACCCCAGGGAATGGCCTGAACTTGTGTCAGGGGAGGTTTAGGTTGGATATTAGAAGAAGGTTCTTCACCTGGAGGGTGGTTGGGCACTGGAACAGGCTCCCCAGGAAGTGCTCACAGCACCAAGCCTGACAGAGTTCAGGGAGCGTTTGGACAGTGCTCTCAGGCTCATGGTGTGACTCTTGGGGAGGGTCCTGTGCAGGGCTAAGGACTGCACTCGATGATCCTTGTGGGTCCCTTCCAACTAGGCATATTCTGTGATTCTGATAACACAGATAATAACAATGCAGATATGCTTGTGCTACCTTTCTGCAGCAACAAGAGCAGAGAGCCTGGAGTTCAGTCTGGTCTAAATGTCCAAAGCTAGAAAAGTAGCTGCTGCCATAGTTAAAGACCACCCCTTCCTACAAATCTGACAATGTAAACAGGAGTTAACAAGAAAAAAAATCTATTTGAACTTACCTGACCCCCTGTAGAAGATGAACAGACACATTCCTCCTGATCCAAGCAACATTGTCCAGTTCCTCTGAGTTGGCAACATGTTGGCTCCTAAAGAAATCATATTCTATTATATAAAAGCAATGAGGCAGCTTAGTGATTTATTTGTAAATTAACGTTTTGATGCTTCCTATTCCAAAATAGATTTGTTCAGCCATTTGAAGTTGCTCCAGGAGACCCCTTAAACCATAGGACCCCTAGGAGTGAGTTCCCTTTGGGTACCCAGGTATCCACGAAGTAAATGGAAAAAATCAAAATTACTTCAGTGGTGTTGATTAGATCAAGTCCTTGTAACTCATGCAGAGGATTTTCCACTGCATTGCAAGGGTACATGTAAACCAAAAGTCAGTGGTGGCTGTAAGCTCTTGGCACATTTGGAAACTAAAAGAGCCAGATTTTCCAAAGGCTCAACCGAAAAAAGATTTTCCAAATGATGCAAGACTCCAGACAGGTAATTCAAAGAGGCTCAGCCTTTTCAGATACCAAAAACTATCCCAAAATAAGAAATACATTTGAAAATACTGACCTACCCTAGTAAAAGATGTGTAGCTGTCTATAATTGGCCTGTATCCTGTGCAACGGCACAAATTACCTGAAATAAACCATATGATAATCAATCATAAGAAACCAGAACAATGTTCAGAAGCACCAGCACAATTGGAAATGATCTGGCATCAAACCTGCAGATACAAAATGCTGAAATTTATGTCCCTATGCTCAAATGGGCAAAATCACATATGTAAAAATAAGAAATATTACTCCAATAGTGATTATATTATTAAAATTTATTATTTTTAAGGCCATTTCTAAAAATAATATTAATTACTTTATGTGAATGCATGTAAAAAAATCAAATTATGAAAAGCATCCAAAAGTAAATTCTACAATTACTAGTACCACTACAGTGTTTGGGTTTTACAATTAAATCCAAAATCTACTGCCATCCATCACTATGATGGTTTTCATATATAATTAGAAGAAGTAATAAAAATCTTTACTGCAATTTCTGGCATTTTGCTCATGAAATCAAAATCTTCTGATGGGAGGGGTTAATTACTTTGGGAGCTATAGGAGTGCTAGCAAACTTGGCTCTTGAAAGTGAGTTGAAATTGCTTTGCCTATTATAGTAAATATTGCTTGAAGAGCAAGACTGTTGTATTACTCAGTGAATACTTATACTCTTTCAGTATATTATACCTACTCTTTCAGCATATTCTTTGTAAAACTGTACTCCTACTGCACCATATTGAGGCTGCTGGTGCAGGAGGGCTATAAAAACAGGCTGTTCTAAAGGTAGGGATTTTCAGAAATATTTATGCAGTGCTAAATGCCACTGTGTATCCCTTTAGAAGCCTTCGGTGTGAACCATCTTTTGATGATTTTGAGATCTCCTTAAGCCACTATGGCTATATCAGAGTACCATCTACTGCCATCATCTACTTCTCTTTGAGTTAAATCATACTTATGACCTTGGCAATCAAACATGTATCCTTTTATTACACTTTTTACAATTTACTGCCTGTAACTTACCATCCAGAGCAGAAATAATCTGCTCCATGGAAGGTTCTGCGTGGTTTCTTAGTAAGGCATACATGGACATCACCATTCCAGGGGTGCAGAAGCCACACTGGGAGCCATTGCATTTGGCCAGCCTTTCCTGGAACAAAACAGAACAACAGTCCAGGATGTGGCTTCACTGACTTTCTGAATAGCCATTTTCAGGTATGTCATCTACCAGCTGTAGGATGGCAGCAGCATTTTCACTATCCCAAATTCTCAGAGCAATCACCTAGTTAAAGGATAATACTTGCTCCAGTTTAGACCCTCATGATCCCAATTATGAGAATAGAATAAGGCCTGAGACCTTCCGTTTAGACATCAATCATACATTAGGTATTTCTAACCAAGAAGGATAGAACACAGACTATCTCCTCAACCAGAGCTTCAGCACAGACAGTCACAGAGTCGTGACTCTTGGAAAATAATATTGAGACAGAAAGAGAATGTTCAGAAAACATTCTTAAATCTATGTGGTCAGACCGTGATTTTCAGGGACAAGCCAGAGTGGAGGAAGTAAAGAGCTGACCTAATCCAAGGGAAATTTCTGGCACACAGATCAAATAAGCCTAATTTAATACCTGCCAGTCTGGCTGCCAGCTGGAATCATTCATCCCATACTACACATATGCACAGACCATTGTCCTCAGTGAGATGGCCAGAGGCCATGCTGGTGACTAAATGAAACTCACTGATGCTCTTTGTCCTTTCCCATCCCCTTCTGAAAGCTGGCATCCTACCTGCCATATGCTTGGATAGTCCTGTGATGTGGAGATTGTGATGTGCTCCCTGCATGGTAGTACATTAGGAGGAGCTCCTTTCATGCTCCATACAGGGCCAATCACAACCCAGCAACTGTTGTATTAATTCCCTGAAACACTTGTTCATCTAAAAAGCTCAGACACCATTCAGTTTTTAGAACCCCTTCAGAGACTTTGCATTGCACAGACTCACAGCACCTTCTCACAGATCCCAGTTTTGTTATAGACATAGGACAGGACACTCTCATAATCTTGCAGCCTTACACAGTCCAGCTTACTCTCACCTGAATTGGATGAATCCGGGTTTTTATGCTTCCAACCCCTTCCACAGTAATGACAGCAGCACCATGCAGTGAACATAATGGGAGAAGGCAAGAGTTGGCAGGACGATGACTTTGATATGTTAAGGAGAACTGTGGCTTTAAATAGCTTTGTTGTATGAGTCCATGGAGGATGAAACAAAGGATATACACTCCAGCTAATCTAGAAATGCTCTGACTTCTGACGTTAGAAAGATGTGGGGAGAAGGATATGCAAGCGTAAAAAATCCTGCACTTGGACCATGACAGTATGCATCCTGCTCCTAGAGCTGGGACTTAGGCATTAAGTAATAGGCTCTTCTAATTAAAGAAGTGCAATGTGTAGTTAAAAGAAAAAAAAATCCTACATATTTTCTTAAAACCCAAAGTCTAGGACCAGCTGTGATGGAAGTCAGGCACAGCACTTCTAATGGAACAAAGTTTCAAGAGCCAGGGAGAGACAAACCAGAACTACTAACTCTGCTGTGGGAAAAACTGTACAACCACAATGTAATAAGCCTATTGCAAAAGTCCTTGGAGATTTTATCAGTGATTATGTGAAACACGTAATGAGAATTTATTAAAAGTGGCATATCCTCAAATAAGCACAAAGGACTTAGGAGAGGCAGATGACAAAAGGGCTGTTGAAATCTCAAATCATAAAGAACTCAATCTAAAACATCATTTTCCCAGAAGGCTTGGGGGTTTGGTGTTGAGTTTTTGTTTTGTTTTGTTTTTTTTTTTTAAAGTATTGGAAAGGATCTAAATCTCTATTACTGTGTGATCATGAGTTCAGCTCTGTAATTTCCCAGTGAATGTCAGTTTTCCCAAAACACTAAATTACTGCTTTCAAATATCAGCACCAGGATACTGTATCCGTTTGGCAACAGGATCATATGTGGATATCATCACAGTGCAGGCACCACAGCCTCCTACTCCACAGCCATATTTTGTACCTGAAAGACGGACTGCAAAGGAGACTGTTAAAGAAAAAAATTACCATATTCAAAAGATATTTTTTCTTTATGTTCTTCTGAGTCTCCCTTGTTTTATCTGCATGTGCAGAACTGGAGGGTGCTCCCCTGTAAAAGGGATGGTTTGAGCAAATACAGCAATAGGTCTTCTTATTAGCCTTACTCACAGTACTTTCCTAATCATTGCACATAATTATCTGTATCTTGTGTTTGCAAAACAGTATCAACAGATCTCAGTATGTTTCCAGTGCTGCTTCCAGAACATCCTAGGAAAACAGTGATTTTAATGGAGCACAATATCCAAGTGCACACACCTAAACCCTGTATGGAAGGACTCCCTCCATTATGTGCCTCAGCACAAAGGCTCCACACTCAAACCACAATCTCCTTCTGCAGTGCCCTGCAGTCCAATGGAATCTACCACTTCCTTTCATCATTTCCCTTCACTTGCTTAACTTTAGAAGCTACATGGCAGCTTCTTAGTTGGGATAACTGCCACTGAAGTCAACAGAGCTCTGACAGCAGTTAGCAACCTGAAGAGCCTCAAATAAGAAAATAAAAGTAATAAGATAATAAAATAAGCTTATATAAAACTCTCTGAAGGACTGGGGCCTAAATAAATTGTTTACTGCAGAAGTAGTTCAAAATTTACAATGTTATACCCATATAACTAACACACACAATGCACATGCAGCACTGGATTGCTCTGCTGAGAACAAATGCAAGGCAAATTTTGTTATTTCTACTTATTGTTCTGTTTACGCTGGTTCCCAAAGAAAAGTGAAACAATCTTAATCCCCATTGCATTAATTTACAGACTTATAGAACTCAAAGGCAAAGCTCAAAAAAAGGATATGCTTCTTTCTTAGATAATACAGCAGCAATTCTTCAGGATCTGCCTGCCTCTCTATTACCTATGTTATGAAATAAAAGAAAAAAAGGGATTATAGGTCAGAGAGGAATCTAATATAACCATCTCACAAGGATTAATTATGATGTTTAAATGTAGTGATTGTGGATTAGTGTGGAGCATTTGTTTAGCAACAGGATGCTGTCACTTGATCATAATCTGCAGAATAAATGAGTGGGTCAGGCAATGTTGGAGAACTGAAAGGGAAGAGAGGTTAAGTAAGCACTTGGAGAGACAAGACTAGAAGGAAAAGTGCCTTTGGCCTAGATCCTTTGTTGATTCCTAACAGCATGAATCAGAAATCCCTTCATTTTAAAGCCATGAACTTGTGTGTGTGAAAATTCTGCATAATTTTATTTCCTTGAAGTTGATATTAACCCCTTCATTTGCAGAGACCCATTAGCATAACAGCAGAGGAAAATCTTAGTGTAAGAAGAGCAAGAGGGATACATATCTAAGTATATTTTCATTCTAATTAAGTTTAATGTGTATGAGTGGGCTTATGCAGGCCTTGCTTTAGCCTTGTCTCAAGAATGTCGTTGTACCATCAGTGTGCTTGAAATTGTTGGATACAAGAAAACACAAACAACTTTGAAAAAAAATGTTAGGACCCACTGCTGCAGAATGACCAGAGAATGAACCTCAGGTTTCTCTCAACAATTCTGCCATATCAGCAGCATGCTCCAATTTACCATGTATAAGACAACATGGACTAGTTCAGGAATTTATACAGAAATGCAGAGTGAAATAAGGTTTCAGAGTATGTCTTGACATGTAATGACAGATAAAACATAACAGACAGAAAGAAGTTGAACTACTTTTCCTTAATTCACCTGGTCAAATTAAAGCCATTACCATCTCTCTAGAGTATAAAAGTGTTGACCAAAAAACTGAAAAATATCTCTAGAAAAGCAAGGTTGGTTAGCTGGTTTGGTTTTTTTAACAAATAAATATATTTCCTTCCTTTTACTTTGTATTGTATTTTGGGTGACATTTTTGCTAGTAGAACTTCTCATTCACTTGACCTGCTAAGTAAGAAAATGCAACAAAATGTCTTAGAAAATGGAATGTGAGCATTTGGCATCAAGAACAGAAAAAATTAGCTACCTCTTTTCTTTTAGTGAAATACTGAAACTATATTAGTAATCTGCATATTCTTTTACTAGAGAGGCACTTCAACTACATCAACTTTAGGAGTACATTAATAAAAGATTTTAGTAAACAGATAACTATTTTTAATTCTAAAAATCTGTATTATGAGAGGTGATACAAAGTCACTCACATTCTGTAAAAACCATGGGATAAAGTAGGAAAATCAAAGACAAGAGACGATTATCCATGAATAAACTGTTGCTCCAGAATAACAGTTTCCAAATGTGAACAGAAAATATTAAAGCCATGCTGTTCAAAAAAGAAAAAGCATTTAAAAACTTACCTTCCTGCCATTCACAAAAAAGACAAGCTCATCTGATTGTTGAGGGCAAGCCATGCTGTTGCATCAAAGTCTGAAAAATAAAGCTTTACGCATCAAGAGAAATTAATGAAATGCTATATGGTCCTAAAGGTCGACTGAGTTTGCTCTGTCCTGCAGAGTTTAATTTGATGCTCAGTCTGCAAATAAGCAGGTGGGGAGGAGCCAGTGCAATGTATATTGTTTCTCAGCAATTAAAGCATGGTCGGATGCCAACGCACCACCTCCTACTCCCTACCCCAGCTCTTCCCTGGTGACTTGAAATAATCTGGGAAGAATATGAGCCCCTGTAACCTAAGAGACAACTGTGGAGGGTACTTTTGGTTTGAGCTACAGGTGCCAGGCCTATTTATTTTATATTATGCAGTGAATTTAGAATACATAGGCATGTCTGATGCAAGAACCAAGGACAAGCAACATTACGCATTTCTGTGGGGTGTCAAATGCAAAGCTGTGGATCTGTGGTTCTCATTTACCTTGACCTGAACTATCCATGATTTTCTGTCTTCAGAGCAACCAAGTTTTAACAAAATCAACATTACTAATCTACACACATTTAAAATTTCCTTCTGGCTATCTCTATGCCATGCCAGCTCTATGTCCTTACTGCTGTGGGTACCATTATAAGATGACCATACTCAAGACATGCCATGTCCTTAAAGAGAGAAATCCCAAATACTGATTTGGAGTTCTAGATTCGCATCCATTTCTCTTATATGCCTTATTACAGCTGGTCTTCTTTTTCTTTTTAAAGGGGAATTATGTATATGTCTTTCAAAAGTCTCCATTTATGTATGTACATGTCTTCTGCTTCATTTACCATTTTCACATTTTCCAGCTAAGGTGTCTGCATTTCATTTAGAGTCAGTGTAGGCTTGCAGGACAAAGTAGTCAGTCCCTGATCTTCTAACACTCCCCACCAGAAGGCAAAAAAATTATTCTCAGCAGATATATGCTGCTGCTTTTGTGATTTAGCCCCTAATTTACGCCTGAGAGCTGCAACAACACAAGCACTGAAGCCATGTCAGTCACCAGGTCCCTGTAGGCAAAAGCCCTAATGTGTCCTGCCAACTGTAGCATCAGTGTAGTATTCCAGGTGTTGTAGGTATGACAGTGCAGTTCAAAGGCCTGAAAACAGAAGGAACCAGACCAAATACCTGATTTTGGCAGAACAATATCTATTTAGAGACTACTAGCCCTCCAAACCAGAACCTAGTATTTACATTAGGTGTTTAAGCTTACACCACACAGAATGGGACTGTGGAGGGTGAATAATTGTAAGAAACACTTCTCTTAGGAAGAAAATTAGTAGAAAGAGTTCTTCTCAACCATCTCCAGTTTGGGTATAATTGTGCAGTTACAGTGCACATTAATGTGTAGCCATCCGGTATGTCAGTGCCTTTGGAGCCCCAACATTTCTGTTTGTTTATCTCCCTGTACAGTCCAAGAAAATTCCTTTCATAATATCCCATGGTAGCTATAGTATCATCTGCCAGGATGGTTAACTGCTGATATTTCTAGCTTCCATGCAGTTTTTCAAACACCTAAAAGCCAAGCAAACAGCTTAATATGTTTGGACCCAAAATAAACAACAACTCATATTTGCTACATGTATAGAATTTACTGAGACAACTAGACAACAGTGCCACTTGTAAAGAGGCAGGGAGGAATCTTTGTCAATAATGACTGAGAAATACAGACAAGCAGACAAGATTTGCACTGCAGACAACAAAGTGTGGGTCTAGAACACGATGAGTCCTCGGAGTGCAAACACCTCAGCACTGCAGATGGGGAGATGGCATTGCCTGTGAGGCAATGATTTTGGAAGATTTGACTTGTCTGGAACTAACTAGCACCTGTGCTGATGCATAGGTACATAGGATAACAACAGAAAATGTAGCTTCCCCCCAGTTCAGCAGACCTATAGGCTCCCTGCTTCAGCATATCCCAGAATTTACACGTATTTTTTGGCTGTTATAGATATGTGGGGTTGTGAGCTGTCATTGACAAACCCACGCAGTGAAACTAAGAAGCTGTTTCAAATCAGAAGAACGAATTGTGGCAGAAGCATTCACATTTAATTTGATTTATTGATCTTCTAACAATAAATAAAAGCCAAAGTAATACAAAGAAAGTGAAGAAAAAGAAGTAAAAACCAATAAGGCTTCAACTGCCTAAATCACACTTTCAGTGCCACTTCAGATGATTTGCTATTACCTGCTTGACCTCCAGTTGCTATATCATATCTTCCAGTCCTGTGCTCTCCTATGCCTCTGCTGTCTTATGATATCTAAGATGGTCTGGACAGCTATGTTTAAGCAGCTGCATTTCACCTACTCATAGTGGTTACAGAGAGACAAACTGAAGCAATAAAGATTTCATATCTTAACAGCCAATACAAAAGCTGTTTTAAGCTACTGACCTGATTTCTGTCACAGATACAGCATCAACTTGTAAAAGGGACAGAGGGCAAGAAGAGAAAATTGTGGAAAACTGAGAGGCCCTACAGGCTGACATGTCAAACAAATTAAAGCCATTTACTTCCAGTAGGAATGGCAGTTGTCATAGTGCTGGAGCAATGTGACCTGTGAGCAAGTGGAAGAGCAATCTCCATGCTTAGCAAGGAATAACTGATGCAGAGGTTCACTGAAGCCACACAGTGAACATCTAAACTACTGATTTTCCCACTTCTGCTTTATTATTGAAGAACTTGCTGCAATTTTTCTGGTGCTACTCTAAACTACTGATTTTCCCACTTCTGCTTTATTATTGAAGAACTTGCTGCAATTTTTCTGGTGCTACTTAAGGTAAGTTTTGTAGACTCACTAAAAAAGTGAAGTGTTTTCTCTATGCTAGGATGCATCCCAGATCAAAGCCTCAAGAGCAAATGCCATGGAGATTTGTGTATTTGTGTGTGTGCACATTCAGAACTGAAATCTTGTCTTCACACTTGAAGAGCAGGAAGGGTTGATGTTGTTAATGAATTCAGTATTGTGGATTCCAATGCTGAAAACTAAATATTGTGACTGGAGCTTTCATAATTTGAAAGTTATTTCTTGGTCTCACCAAAGGTTACAAATATATACATGCTTCAAATGTATTAACATCAGAATTTTTGTTACCATTTAATATAGTGTTGCTTTATATTTTCCTGTTTTCTCCAGGTGCTACTGCTTGGGTGTGGTCTAATCCCATTTTATGCTAGCACCATTAAATGTTTGATCTTTGCAGAACATCTTTTGATCTCATTATGGTTTTTTTTTTTATTTGCTTTATTTCAGGAGTGGCCAAGAGTAGGAGAAAGCTGTTAATTGCACTTTCATGGCTTAATATACTCCTGAGTACAGGATTAAGCACTGTTAAGAATCCTTTCCAGGGACAGGTTCATCCGGTCTCCCATTCAAAGCACACTGAACTCCATGTCAGTTTTTACATTAAGTTCAGAGGCTTTTGGCTTGCCCCATGAGAAAAAGAAAGCTTCTGGTGGAAATTACAACTGACTGACTCTGCCAACTTTCAGAATAAAATTCATGTTCTATATATGTAGGTCAACTTGCCTGGCATAGCGAAAGAGAATCATAACTCTTGTTTCTTGTGTGTTTTTGACACAAAGACGTCTGTGCCAAAGGAATCTAAAGAAGCTTTACTACAAGTCAGAGCATCACTTCTGATCAAAAAGGGACTGAATCCAATAAATTCTGAGTCCTTGACAAAGATCTCTGCCCTCACACTCCACTGCAAGATTCAGATCCAAATTAGAAAATTAGCTGAAGCCATTACAAAATCGTTTATCATATGAAGTTGCTGGGTGTAATAAGTGGCAGTAAGTTATCTAGCATACCTTTATACTTCATCCTAATTTTCCTTTCCTACAGCATTTGAGCTGTGCTGTTCAGCAGACCTTTCTTGTTGAATACATATACTTCAAATGCAGAAGATGTATTTCTAGCAACTAAATGCAGTCATTTAAGTGAAATACTGTAATGAATATACTGGAGAAAGAATGAAGATAAGGATAGAAGATGTAAAGTGCATATTTTTGGTAGATGATTCTATTCTGAAAATAAGAAAATGAGAAAATATATGTAGCTGTGTGTTGGTTAGTGTGTCTTGGAGCAGTAAATCAGTTTTCCATTCCGGTCTTTGTCATTCACACAGATGTGGCCTGAAGAGCGGAGGAAGCAGCTTCATTGTTTGCAATCTAAGAGACAAGCAAGAAATGAAAAGAGTTACTTTACTTGACTGGCAAACTCCCAACATTGCCCTTATCAGGTGCTTCCAAGTCACTCAGCAGGGTATTATATAGGACACACCTACAGAGGGTGGCTGGAAGGAACGTCAGTAATAACTGAGGTCAGGGCTAAACAGAGATTGAGAAGGTGCCTGCACTGGTGGACCTCACCTCCTGCAAGTTCCTGCAAAGAGAGTAAGCCCACAAACCTACTGAGGCAGGGGCCAGTGGTGCCTCACCACAATCACAGAAATACCATGGGAGTAACCTGTGACTGAGAGCTCAAGAGCTTCCATAGCAGAGCCTCAGAGTTTCAGGGTACAGCATGAATTTATATGCTGACAAGGACCTCGCCTCACTAAATAAAAAACTGCACAGAAAAAGAATTGTAATAGCAGTGGGAACATGACTATAGTGAACAGTTGCAGAAACCCTAAAGGACCAGCATTATGAGAACTGTGTTGCCTCATTTTTCTTCTTCTGTATCTTCTTGTTAGCTCTGAGTTAATTATTTTTCTCCCAAAGAGTACTGGGCATAGCAAGGAGTACCAGAATGAGGTGACAGTGCCAGAGTGTAGCACCTGGAAGGAGACTGAAGATGCCTGGAGGCTGATCCACTGCATGTCAATAAGATGAGCTACTGAGTCCTCTATGGGATTTGACATACAGAAGAAAGGAGTAGGCTTCAGGGAAAGAGGGAATTGTAAAAATTATGTAAATTTCAAAGGAAAAAGATGATACCAGGCATTTCAGTTACAAGGAGCTGTATACAAAGCATGACCAATTGGAGACATCATGAGGGTGCACTTGTATACACTTGTACCCAGCAACAGTTAAATAGACCCTACCCCCAACCTTCTATTACCAGCTCAGTAAAGTCGTCAGCGCAGCTTGCCCGTATTTGTTCAGCAGTCAGAGGGCTGTTCAGTGCAAAGGGCTTCTTCAGTCCTCTTTCATTCCTCACCCTAGTTACTGCATCTCTCAAAGCGAAGAACACAGAGCATCCCAAGAAAAGTCCTGCCTCACCTATTCCCTGAAAAGGAAAAAAAGTCATATGGGTGTAGGTTTTGAGCAAATGGGAGAAGTACAAGCCAGATGAAAATCAACTAAAAAGTTTAAAACCAGTCATTCAAGAACTGTTTAATCCTTCAGTAAGGAAGTTTATTTTAGATTTAGAGGAGGCAAGGTTAGATCACACCAAGTCCTCTGAAGGTAGCTGCTTCCAGTGTGCTAAAAAGGTTGATTTGAAGTGTCAGTCATTGTTTTAGAATCCTTTTGGCTCATTGTTAAACTTAAATTTAGAATAACTAGCAGATGAAATTAAAACCATCCAAACCCAGGTACAGCTAAAACTAAGGAACAAAGCTTGAACTCTTGGTAATTCCCTGCAGACAAATACCACTGACCTCAGTGGGCTTGACATCCTCTTACCAGTTCTGCCAGAAGATTCACATTTGTTTCTTACCTCAAAGAT